TCTTAATGAAATTGTCCAAATCAGCTCTGAGTAGCAGCAGCAACTTGCTTTCCCAACCAAACTTGCTTTTCCCGGAGCCCTTAGGGGATGTCAGTTGGTGAAAGCCTGCCTTGCCCCCAGCAATGCCCCCTATAGCATGGGGCATGAGTTAGCCCTCCTGTTGCTGTCCCATTGGGTCCCATAGCCATGAGGTGACACCAGGGAGGAGATGACAGCCCTGATCCATGTGCTTTGCCAAGATGCCAACTTTTTTTTGCTATATTTAAACAGCTCTGAAAGCACTTTCAACCTCAATAGCCCCATTCCTCTGTAAAGGTACTTCTGAACCACGCTGCCCTGCGTCAGAGTAATTAAAAGTGAGACTGAAATCTTCCCAGGGAATTCAGAACACAGCTAAGGCTGCAGGTCTAACAGACCTATGTGCACTGAGAGAAAGCCCCAATTCAGCTTCCCCTGTAGCCCCATAAAACATTCTGCAGCCTCACCATGCCTCAGTTTCCCCACATATACCCTAAAGGACAGCAACACATCACTGTCCCCAGCCTGCAGCCCTTGGCAGGGGTTGAGCTCCATCATCCCCAGCTCTGCTCCCTGCAAAGGGATCAATGCCAGTCCCACAAGGAGCAGCTGAGACAGTTAGCAGCATCCAGCCCTCCTTTCATTATTTTCTCTTGAATAATTAAACCCTGGGATGTTAATACTTTCTACTCGAAAACTCAAATTGCAGTGTTTGTAATTACTGTTTTATTGGAACATTAAAAATTAAAGGGCATCTCAAGGTTGTTGGCATGGCACAGGAACTTCCTCCTCTCCCCATGATGTCCTGCGTGCTCCCAGCCCTCCCTTCCCTCCTGCTTTATCCCATCACAAGCAGAGATGCTGAGGCTCAGGATTTGCGAGCATCCCCAGCCCTGCAGAAATGGGGACGTGTCAGCATGAGGACATCCTGATGGAGACGATGGCTTCCAGCATCCCTCAGAGATATTCTGGGAAGGCAAACAGCCACGAAGCCCAAACAGGAGATGTGCTATGGCTCTGGGTGGGGAGGAAGAGCCACTCAGTGCTATTTGCAGCTCAGCCCCACTGCTTCCCCAGCACTGCTGGGTGTCCCTTTGGCAGCAGTTCGTGCCACATTTCTGCCCTCAGTTCATCGTTCTGCACAATTTGCATTGCTGAGCACCAGAGACATCCCTTGGCTCTACTCCCCACCAGCGCGTGCTCTTACAGGTTGGGATGCTCAGTTCCCCACTTTGGGGTTTGTGCCCCCCACAGAGCCTGTTCGAAGGACGCAGCAGGGCTCAGCAGCCCTGCATCTCACCAGTCCCACGCTGCAGGGACCCCGCACACCGTCCCCATCATAGGGACAGCCCCATGGGATGGTCCCATGCAGTCCCCCACCGGTTCCCATGGCAGCAGGCTCTATACTGGCTCACCAATTCCCATGGCAACAAGGCTTCCCCCTCCCCATCTACAGCACTGGGGGGTTCACAGGGGTTCCCATAGCAGCTCCCCCTGATGGAGAGCATCCCCCCAACTCCCCCAGCAGCAAACAGTGCAACTCCTGCATCTGGCCGAGCGGTTGGACGTGGACATGATCCTGCTGCCCACACAGGGGCTGGATGCTCTCCTAACCCATCAGGACACAGCACCAATCTTCCCTCCTGCTGCCACCCCCTCACACCCCTCCCCAGCGCCTTCCTGCTGCTGACAGGTGTGTGGATACTCAGCTCTCTCTCCATGCCATGTTGCACAGCATCCTTCTGCTCGGAGAAGGAGAAGAGATTTGTAAAAATGATGCATGGCAGATGCAGATGAATTTTATTCTACTGTCCTGCTGAGGATTCTGAGCCAATCACCAACAGGGAAATGCCAGCATCACTGGGCCCCTTGAGATCTTATTCTCCCATTTAGCAGCACTTATACCAGCCCTCCCATGGTGCCAGCCCTGGGAGGAGATGCTGGAGTGCAGTGTGTGCTCACCCAGGGCAGCACCTTTCTCTTCTGGGCTGCTACAGCCAAAGCAGTGGTGATATTGGGCCATGGGGGCCGTGCTCCCCATCCCCACCAGTCCCCCACCATGGATGGGTTCAGACCCTGCAATGGGACCCAAAATCCTATGGGGCTTTGCTTGTGCTCAGGCTGCACAGCTCCATGCCCTCGGATTTCATGATGAAGTTAAGATAGTGAGGCTGTTGCTTGGGGTGAAAAGATGATTAACAGCCATCATCCCAATTAAGAGTTTCTAATTGGGATTAATTTGAGAAGTTAATTAAGCGTGGAAATCTCTTGCCTCCCAGATTTCTCTTACCAACCTGTTGCTCCCCAGCCCTCACACCACCAAGAGGGCACGGGGCACTTTGGGTGAGGCTTGTCCATTAGCACTGCTTTTGGTGGCTGTGAATACAGAAACGATGCCCCAGTGGCAATCAGGCACCTCTCCCTCCACCCCGCGCCCAGCAAGAAGCCTGCAGCTCTTCCTATTACTTTCCTCAACATCTCATGAAAATTAATTCCTGCAATTAATGGATTAAATCAACAACCCCCCACGCTCGGTGAGGCTGAGCCAGATGCACTGTGGCAAAGAGCATGGACATCACCTTCAGGAGGAAACAAGGACATGGGGTGGGAAGTCAGGAGCAGATCAGATGGGGGAGAGCTGCAATGCAATGCTCAGCAAAGCAAAACCCCAACTGACTGCACTTCCATGCAAGCTGCAAAGCCCCTACTTGTTTCTTAGAGATGCTGTTGGATGCCTTGAATCCTCAGATGAAAGGAACTAAATTAGGGCAGATTGCAGTTTCCTGCTTTCTGGCTTGTATTTACAGAAATTCTGAGAGATCTGGTCGCTCTCTTTCCAAATAGGAGCTGAAAATAAGGACCTCCCTTTAATTTCTCCCCCTTTCCAAACAATTTGGTCCCACGGCTGGGGACACTCCATCCCCCACATAGTGCTGGGGCAGAAGCTGCATCCTCAGAGATTCTGCTCCTTTTTGCCCGTGGATCATTGGTATTTCTTTGCTTTCCTGGGAAATGGCATTGAATAGAGCCCTATCTCTCCTGAGAAAACATTGATCCAGAGTTTTAATGGCTTTCCATTAACGAGCCACAATGGGTGTCATTGGGAAGGATGGCTCCACCTGATAAGAAAGGGAACACTCAGCTTTAGAAGGGCTTTTCTCCCCCTCCACAAACTCTGCCAAAAAGAAAAAAAAGAAAAAGAAAATGAAAAAGAAAAGGAAAGAAAGGGAAAAAAAAAGCCATGGATTGCATTGCTCTTTTCACTCAGTTGCTCTGAGGACAGATGTTCAATTTGTTAACTTCCCCCAGGGCTCTGCTTTGCCGAAGGGTGAGGCAAGGAGAGAGGAGATCCAATGCATTGGTGTATTTTGGGAAGTCTTTCTAAAGGGGGGGGGAACATCATAAGAAAGGCCTCCCAAAAAGAAAAAAAAAGGCTCGACACGGGGGAGACAGGACTCAATTAAAGCAAGACCTTGAAAGACACGAGCCAGCAGCGCAGAGCGCGGGTCCATTAGGCATCACTGTCAGGCGGCGTGCCGTGCTTAACGGAGCTGCGTGGCAGCTGAATCCATCACCTGGGGAAATAAACAACGCTGCTTACATCTTCAGCAGCTCCTTGATCTAGCGATAAACCCGTAAGGGGAAATAAATGGGCTTCTCTTCCCCGGACTGTCCACACCGGGATGCAATTTGCCGTTTCACCTGGCTGCTGATAAGCGGGGGATTGGGAGGGAAAAGCTGCTTAACAATTTCCTAATAAAGCCCCTGATAAATGGAGCAGCCCTATTCCCTCCATCCTGGGGTGACTGACAGCCCAGACGGCTGCTCCATGCAGCTGGGCATTGGTAGGACGTGCTGCTGGGCCAACAGCGGTACGCTGCTTGGGGGCACCTCATCCCAAAAACTGTCCCTGGCACCCATTTTGGCAAAAACCTGGGCAATTTGGGCAAAACCCAAAGCTCCTCACAAAGCCCAGTAGCCCACTGTATGGGAAGAGGTGCCTGCAGCTCCTCTGCAGGTAAATCACAGCACCCCAAAGCCACCCTGCCACCACATTTAGGGTGAGCAGACCCATCCCCAGGCACCAGGGCCACACTGACATCTCCCCGTGGCATTTCCAATTGTTTGATTTTATTCTCTCTCCTGACAGTTTTTCTTTTCCCCCCACCTGCACCTCCCTGCTGGGAATTTATGCTTGATAATTAGCCGTGGTAATTAGAATCTCTTTCACATGGCAGCGCTTCAGCTTCCCTCTGCATCTCTTCCATGTTCCTATGTGATAAAACATGAAATTAATGCCTGCGTCATGCTCAGGTCTCCCATCCTGATGGACAGAAGTGCTGCCCAGGATGCTGGATAACCCAGAGCACTGCTGCAACCATCATCTGAATGTGGACCCCTGGATCACACCAGCTCCCCATCACGTCACTATTTACGGTGACAGCAACCAGAGTGAGTGAGCCAGCTCCTATTTTAGCTTGTAGAGAACAGCCGTGACAGTGGTAACAGGGGCTGATGGCACCTGGCTGCTGGACTGTAGTTGCTGCCTTGAGAGTTGTCCGGAGCCAGCTATGGGATCCTGTTCTTGGGATAAAGCAGGTTTTGTTTGGTCCTTGTGGCACTGGGGGCTGAATGACTGGGAGTGTGCTTCTTGCCATGTCCCCAGTGCCTGGCCTGTGCTGCCCCAGCCCTGCTGTAGTGTGGGCAAGCAGCTGCTTTAGCACCAAGATAGAATCAGAATCATTAAATCTTTGAGGTTGGAAAGACCAATAACATCCTCCAGCCCAACCCCAAACCCTCCCCACCATGCCCACTGACCACATCCTTCAGTGCCACATCTCCACGGTGCTGGAACACCTCCAGGGATGGTGACCTCCCTGATGCCAATGCACTACCAAATGAAAAGTGCCAGGGAAAGGCACAAAGGATTGGTGGTGTTCATCTCTGCAAAGAGAGGCTTCCACAGCTTTTATTTACACACACGCCTGCTGCAAGACACACAAATTACTTAATCAATCCTTTCCCTTGTCGGCGTCACCGGCTGTTTGGAAGCTGCCTGCACAGCGTTGCACTGAAGGTGACAAATGGCTCCTGGATAACAGCACTGGCTCTGGGCTGGGGGACAGCAAGAGCAGCCTGGTGCCAAAATGGGGCTCCATTCATCCTGCCGAACCCCTGCTCCATCACCCGGAGCCAGGTGGGGACAGTGCTCCCAGATGACACCGTCAGGCTGGGATGAGGGGTTATTCCATGCATGGTACAAGTGCCCCGTCTGCAGCTCGCAGCTGTGCAGCCCACTCCTGAGCAGCAGGAGGGCTGAGCACTGATCCTGCAGCACCGCTCCATGAGAACCTCCCAAACCCAACCAGCCTGCTCACCATAGGTCCCACTAAGCCAGGAAAGGAATCACAAGAAGCATCAAACAGTTCTCTAAAAGATTATGAGCTTAAAGAGAAGCTAAAGAAGTGAAGCTGCTGCCTGGAGCTCTTGGCCTGGAGCTCACCTTTTCTTTCAGCTGGTTGGGAAGGCAGGGGCTGCAGCGCTGGGGGGATGCAGGCACAATGTTTCTGCTGCAGTTGCTATGCCTTAAATCTGCCCCCACCTTCACTCCATGCCAGTAACATACCAGCTGCTGCAGCACCTCCTCCTGCCTCAAACAAGGAGAAGCACCGTGCCACCACCTACACAATGGTGCACAGCACCCTGCACAGCCCTGAGCCCAGCATCCCTCTGCAGCCGCACGCAGAACTGCTCAGCCCCAGCCTTGTGCTGCAGACCAAGCCTCTGCTGCTTGCACCCATTGCAGCCTCTGCCCTCAGGTTTTGCCCTCCCCGGCCAAGGAAGGGTCCCCCAGCACAGCCCAATAACTCCTCACAAGAAGGGCTGGGTGTTTTTTGTTCCCTTTTAATTCACCACTCATTCTGGGAAGGGGGGGGAGGAAAGGAGAGAAGGAGGGGGATAGAAAACAAATAAATAAAACAACCTCGGATGCTTCAAGAGAATGAAAACCCTGAAACTGCAGTCTGCTGGTGGCTCATCCCGTGGATGGAAGAAGGGAAGGGTGATCCCCTCCAGCTCCTCTCCCCGCCACCCCCATCCCAGCACCAACGCGGTCCAGATGGGTTCGGATGCGGACGGACGATGCGCCTCAAGAGGAAAATGGAACCGACCATCGGGACGTGGCTTTTTGCAGCCCAGCACCCCCGGCTCGGCACGCATCCCGTCCTGCCTCCCCAGCTATTGCACGAGCTTTGAGATAAAGCCACCGGCGGCACACGGTGCGTCACCGCCACGGGGCCGAGTCACAAGCAGTCCCTGCACAGAGCCACCTGGCCCTGGCGGTAGTCGCGGCAGGGGCAGAGGCGCCGGTACTTGGTGTTGTGCCCCGCGCAGCTGAAGAGCAGCGGCTCCTTCTGGAGGTAGCACTCGTGAACGTTCTCTGCCACTGCCGGGTAGAGATGGTTCATCTCGTACTCGGTGCTGTCGCAGGTGATGCTGAGCCTGGGAAGGAAAAGAAAGGTGGGGAGGCTGCTGTTCCAGGGCGGGGAGGCTGACAGGTAGTTCACTAAAGGTGATGCTCAACCCGCCTTTCCGTGTGATAAGCCTTGGGTTGGACCTTTGCTGGATGCAGGATCCGTGAGTGCTTGGCACCCTTTGACTCCACGTCAAACCCCAAGCTCCATGCAATCAACCCAAGCCTCGAGTGGACCACGGACATCCCCACTAAGAATGTTATACCCTGCCCAGAGAGGTCTGCCTGCTCTGCACACGCTTCCACAAGCAGATGCCATCCCCTGGAAGTGCACCCAACCTCGGTGAATGTTCAGATGTCCCCTGGATCAGCAAAATGGGGACACACACCCACAAAAACCCCAGGGGAAGCAAAAGCTGCCCCTGCTCTATGCCTCCACGGCTCCCCCAGCCCATCTACGGCTGCCCTGGCTCCAGGGATGGGGGGCACAAAGGGAACACAAGCCCTGGCCCTAATTCATCCTATAAAGCTGTCACCAGGGCTCCAATCGCCTGCCTGGCCGGCGTGACGAAAATGGTAATGTTGGCATCTTAATTGTCCACAGAACTGCCAGGAGCCTGGTGGCAGATTTATACTCTATTAAAACTTCACCGCTGTGTGTTCGAAATGCAGTTTTCAGAGAGAAAGATGTAAAAAGGACAGAAAGGGAGAGAGCAGGCGAGAGGTGGAGAGAAGCGGGGTGGAAGCGGGACAGCAGCAAAATGCCAATGCCATCACTGCTTGTGGAAGCACAGAGCTGCTGGAGCAAGCATGGGGCTGCCGTGGCTGCAAGGGGCTTTTGGGGACAAAGGACACGAGGACAAGGGGGGCTGGGGATACAGAACTGGAGATTGGGGGCCCCCTCCAGCAGCCCCCCCCAGGTGTCACCGCCCCGCTGAGGACACTCACTGCAGAAACACCTCCTTCTTGTTGAGGAACCTGAAGAAGGTGGGCTCACACACCAGCCCACGGCGGCGGCACGTCTCGGTGCAGGCATGCTGCCCCTCTGACAGCCACACCTGCAGGGAGTCTGCTGGCGGCCAGGCGTGGGGGTCCCGGCGGGCGCTCGGGGACCAGACCAGGTGGGTGGCGTTGGGAGACAGGGCCAGAGGGCTCGGAGGGCTTTGCATAGCGGGGCTCTGGGCCTTGGCAGGAGGTGGAGGGGATGGCATGGTGCAGAAATCCTGGAAGGGAAGGGAATAGGTCAGTGCTGGAAGGGGAAGGGCGATGCGCAGGTGTGGGGCTCGGCAGGACTCAGCATCCCTGGTGGGGACACCTCACAGGCCCAGCGGTTCCTCCCCAGCATTTCTCCCATTCCTCCCCCAGCACAACAGGGATGGTGCCCAACCTGGTGCTGAATGTAGGCATGGATCCGCTCCAGCATCCCCTCGCAGGTGTACTCGTAAGGCAGGTAAGGGTCCACCTGTGCAGGGGAAGAGCACAGCACTGAAGCAAGAAGCAGGCAAAGCCCTGCCCTGCTCCAGCTCTGACAGCAGCACCTTGAGGCACCGAAGCCCATGGCATGTTTCCCATCACATCACCACTGCACGTTCCTCAGCACCCAAAGCACAAAGCCAGGGATGGGATGCATTTCCCATTATCACTGCATTTCCTATCACTGGCCAAGTGGGTGATGCTCCTGCCCTTCATCCACCATCAGGCAGAGAGACGTGGAGCAAAGTCGTTCTGCTCCTGAATGAGTTCATCTCCCTTCCCTAAAAATAGCAAGAGCCATGTGAGGGCACTGCAGGGATCGGACCCCCTGTGGGGCTGGGAACTCAGCGTGGTATCCCTCATTCCTCTTTGGAAGAAAATGAGGACTGCAAGAGCTCTGCAAGCAAGAACAGGTTTAAGAGAAAGAGGGTGAAGGATTAAATGGGGTTCAACTCACCTCAGTAGGCTCAAATGCAGTCACCTTGCTCCACACCCCAGTTTCCCAAGCAAGCCATTTCTGGCAGCATTTCCCATCCCCCTGCAGGTGCTGGTGGCCAACACAGGGCTGTGGGGACCGTGGAGCAAATATGTCCCCCACAGCCCCACGTTCCTACCTGCTATTTATGCAGAGCCAGCAGCACTTCAACAACCAGTGTATTTATAGCACGGGTTATGAAACACTGCTGGTCCTCACCCGCTCTTCCACATCACACCTCCCTCCTGAGAGCTGCCCTTGTGTCCCGGTGTCGAAATCAACTCCTCCAAAGCGTTCCCAAACCCCGCAGCATCCCCAGCCCCCATAGCATCACCAAACCCCCCAGCATCCCCAACTCCACAGCATCACCAAACCCTGCAGCATCGCCATCCCCACATCTCCCCTCATTTTCTATCCTCTGTGGGACGGGCTGGGCAGGTTCTGGAGGCCGCCTTCCCCTCTGCATCTCTGCAGAGCTTTATGAAAAGGACGGATGGTAAGTAAAAAATACCCCAGATAATTCATCCAGAAAACACTGCTGCTTCTATTTTCTGCACCTCCAAAATAGCTGTCTCCTTTGAAGCACCTGTCAGAGCCAAGCTCCAAAAGGCTCAGCCTGCCAACAAGATCCCTCTAAGCATCTCTCCACCATAAATATCCCACCTGAGATCTCAGCAAGGCTGGAAATCGCAGCTGCTCTGTCTCATTACAGGTGTGCAGTGTAATTGGTGCTGACACCGTGACAGGCACTGATGCTGCTCAGTCAACCAGGGCCAGGTCTTGCAGCTTTGGGGCTGCAGTGCTCAGCCTTTCACCCCTGCACTCACGACAGCAGTGCTGAGGAGCTTTGCACAGGGTGATGCTCTGCCATTTTCTTGCGAAGGGATTTTGCACCCCTCTCCTGCACGCATCAGTGGGGAATGCAATGCAAAACGCACAGGTGCTTTGGGTTTTTTTTTCCAGACCCCATTGGGTATCGCAGAACTGCCTCCCTCGTTCCAAAGGAAAAGGGAGAAAAAAAATCCCTAAGTAAGGAGCAGAAAAATAATGCAATTGTCAGCTGCCCCCCGGCAGCAGGCTGGAAGCACTTGAACCAGCTATTTTCGCTGTGATGTTTAATATGCCACTCTTTCAAGCATAGGCTGAAATGTATAATTTTCCATTATATTCCTGTATATTTGACTTTAATATAATGATGCCTTCTCCCTTCGCTACACCAGAATATTGGGTCTGTTAAATGGCTTGTGCTGGGACAAATGGAAAGAGCTGAAGGCTGAGAAATGGCTGTGCCTGAAAACCTCTCTGCCCTTCTCACACCAACCTCTGGCAAAGAACTGCAATTCCTCACTGGCACAACAGCAGGGGGTGGCAATCCACCCTCCTGAAAGTGCTCAGCTGAGATTTGCCTTGAAGGTGCAAAGCCAAAGGTGCGTGGCTGGTGGTTTTTCAGTGGCATGAGGAAAAGGGAAAAAGGAAAAACGGGAGAGGAAAAGAGAAAAAGGAAAAAAAGAAAAGAAAAAGGGGGGAGGAAAGGAAAAGGGGACAAGGGGAAAAAGGGGAAAGGAGTAAAGGGGAACAGGGAAAAAAGGAAAAGGGGAAAAGGGGAGAGGAGAGGAAAATGGGAAAAGAGAAAATGGAAAAGGGAAACTGAAAAGGAAGGAAAGAAAGGAAAAGGAAAAAGAGTAAAACCAGTTTCAGGTCAGTTTTTAATTCCCAGTGTTTCCCAGCAAGGAGAAAAATGCTTTGTTTCAGGTCAGGCAATCTGTTTGGTTTGGTGAGGCAAAGGGAAATGCATCATTTCAGATAGAAGTTTCCCTAGCAGGGCATTTCCAAGCAAAGACACGCAGATGGGAAACAAAAACACATTATTTCATTTCAGTAATGGTGAAATGCAACGTTCGGAGCAAAAGAAATAAATGGCTGGTGATTATTCTGAAGGAGAGATTTGCCAAACAGTCTGAAAACACAACGCCCTGTTTTGCTACCGGAAAAAAGGAGGCAGAAAACAGTTCCTCCCACCTGGCTGAGCACTGAGCTGCCCGTTCCCAACACCCATCAGCTGTTCTCATTTCCTGCTGCAACCAACAGTATTTTAAAAACAAGATACCGAGGGATTCCCAAAGCCAAAGCCAATAATGGGGCTTTTAAAGCTGTAAGGTGGGTGAACTTTTAGTCTTAATTGCTTTGATAGTATCTCTATACAGATATCTATGTTAAAAAGAAACAAACAGGCAGATGCTGACACTTGCTCCGCTCGCTCCCTGCTCTGCTTGCAGAGGATATATAGATGGCCTTTAAAAAAGCAAAGGGCAGAGGGGAGTGGTGGGCTGACCCCACTGCACCTCTTGGTGCATGGGAACATCTCCCTGCAGAGCTGTTACAGCACGCTGCTCTGGGTTGTATTCATTTGGGGTGAATTAAGGCTTGGACATCCTGGCAGCCCCTACAGGGGCATGGCCAGCAGCAGCAAAGCAATGGGGATCCTCCAAAACAAGGGTCCTGGGAGGCTTCCCTGCTCCGCGGAGACATCATTCGATAGACCACGAAGCCATATTTCCAATGTAGGTGCCACAATGCAAAGCAAAACGCCCAGAAAACCCCGCAGCCGTGCAACCCCAGGCTGGTGCCACATTCTCTGTGCTGCTGCCTCATCCCCGCTCTCCCCCTTCCTCTCAGCGACGTAGGAGATGTTAATTAAGGAAAGGAGGAAGGATGTGTTGTGTCTGCACCACAACTGCATTTGTATGAGCAGCTGACGTGGGAACGGGGAGAAATCCGGAGATGGAGCCGATCAGCCTGCAGCACAGCTTCCTCACAACGCTTCTTTATTTTTGTTACCTTTCCTTTTTTAACAGCGGAGATCACGGCTAGGCACCTACGTGACCTCATCCACACTGACTCCACATTTCCTCACCGCACAGCTGCTCGGTTTGATGTGCTCACCCCACCAGCATCATCACCCCAAATCCTGCGCACGGCCGTCACGGTGAGGGCACGGCTCATCCCAAGCGCAGCAAAGCGGAGATGAGAGCTGTTCTCACCTTGGCACGGCACAGAGGCTCGCATTTTGGGGAGCCCTTCTCACCTGGGTCCTCAGGATTGTTTTGATAGCAGCTTCAAACTCCTCGGAGTTATTGTAGTCGACAGTCCACACGTGTGGCTTCCCAATGAAGTCCTCGGCGTACGGGTGCTGTGAGGATACCTATAACACAGCACAGCTGCAGCCTCCGGCTGTGAAACCCCTGCAGGTTGGGATGCTCTGCTCCCAGCTCCACCCCCCAGCCCCATAATTCAGGTAACCGTAACACGAACCAGGCAAACCACCCGAAATGGCAAAGCTCTGTGGAAGTACCACATCACAGCTCCAGAAACGACAGCAAATCCATCGCTGCTGAAGGCACAGAAAGGTTGGTCGCCAGAAAAGGCAGCGCTGGAAGCTGCATCACCCCAGTGCTATGTCAATGCTCCACCACCCACCTCTCACTGAGCAGTTTGGGGGGAAATCACTCCTTTTTGGTAAACCAAATGCTGCTTTTCCAGCCTCACACTGCTAAAAGGCACCTAGAGCCCTGGCAGCAGGAGGAGAGAGGATGCTGAGCTGTCTTGGAAGGCACTGCAAAGCAGGAGAACCTGCTAGGAGCAGAGCCATGCATGCTTTTCTTTTTGTCCCGCTTGAGCTCCCTTCCCATTTGTAGCCAGCAGTGAGCACCTCCTCCCATCCTCCACATGAACACCCCAGGGCACTTCAGAACCTTGGGAGCCATTGGGGACAGTGTGGCACAGCCCAGCCGAGCTCAGGGAGTGAGAACTGTGCCGCATTATCCACTTCATTAATAATAAAAGAGGCAATTTTCTCAACCCTTTAACTTTTAAAGAGTTCCTGCTTCGCTTAGATTGAATTCCCAGCAATGGGCAAGACTGGGAGGGGTGTCCTACTCCTGCAGCACTGCTGAGGTCCCCATATCCTCCTCATTTTACAAAAATGCAATGGGCTGAGGGGGTTCAGGCACCAGCAGAACAGCAGCCCCTATTCCACATCCCTATTTCAGGGATGTGCATGGATCAGCACAGTCGGAAGGGAATGAGCACTGGATTTTGGAGGGGGATCTGTGAGCATCCCTGCACCACTCTCCCCCTCTGCAACCCCCAGCAGAGCCCCTTCCATCCAACAGATGCACGTTGAGATGATACATTCACATGTTGGGATTTGGAGAAAATCTCTCCAGAGATCTCACTTGGGTGCTTTTCCCTCCCCACCGAGCACTTGCCTCTCTGGAGGTGGGCTTCCCACGGAAGAACTCGTGGTTGAGGGAGCTGTGGGGGGGGTTGAAGCGCGCCTGCAGGAACACACAGCCATTGGCGATGGCCTCCAGTGGGGCTGGACCCTCATAGGGGAACCCAAAGCCGATGAAGAGCTGTGGGGAGTAAACTCAGGTTGGTGATGTGGAGCTGCAGACCCATCAGTCCCCAGCCCCATAGGAGAGGCTCCAAATCACCCACCTGCATCCCCCAGCCCTATAGGAAAGGCTCCCAGTGACCCAAATCACCCATTGGTATCCCCCAGCCCCACAGGAAATGTTCCCAATGACCAACAGCATCCCCTGTGCTGCTCTGTGCAGCAAGCCACTATAGCAGCTCCATGCAGCTCAGCATCCCATAACTTAAATGTGCTCAGAAGCTACTCCACATCAGAGGGAAGCTTTACAACTCACAGCCCAGTGGGGTGCTCATAGCTGTGGAAGCTGCAATGCTCACCCACAGCTACCAGCATCACACCCACCCTGCACAGAGAAGCTCCCATGCCCCCATAAGGAGGAGAGCAGCTCACCTTCGCCTTCCTCAGCAGCTGCTGGAACTCATGCTGTGGCAGCAGCCCGTGGTTCTTGACGAAGGCTGGTACCTCCGGCGGCCGCTGCGTCTCGTAGTACACAGTGCCATGGATCTCCATGTACTTGTTGAGGATGGTCAGGAATTTCTCCTTGCCCTGCAGAAGGAAACAGCACCCCGATGCCAGTATTAAGGATACAGGCTGCTGGATTGCAGCACACTGAGTGCAGGGGGTTTGCAAAACCAGGGCTATCGAGCTGGGATGTGGATGGGTGTGTGAAGGGATGTGAGGATGTAACAGCCTCACATCCCACCTAACAAGTCCCTAAGATGCTCTTACTTGGGTTTAATCCTCACGCCTGTTTTATTACCTGGAAAATCAAGGGGGTTATCATTTTTCTTCTTTGGAGGCTTTTGCTCTCCAAAGCAGCCTTCCATTTTAACAATTTCTCTATTGCTCTTTTCTTTTTTTATTATTTTGCTTGGAAGAACACAAAGGGGCAGTGCTTTGGATGCTGTATTTTCACTTTACTCCTGCCCAAAAGAGCAAACTGGGAGGGAAGGGGGAGGTAAAAATGAGGAACTTGGGAGAGCTGTGCACGCTGCCTTAACGCCTCTCTGAGCACTGCATTTCTGCACTCAGCCACACATCCCAGACTTCTCTATGGCTATCAGCCAGATCTGCATACAGAGCGAAGAAGTCAACCAGCTCTTTCTGGTCAAGTAAGCTGCAGGGTGCCATTGTATGGTAGCACCCCACTGGGCACTGTTCTGATGGCGATTCCCTAATGCAAAGGACTTGGGGAGCTGACAGTAAAACACTGCTGGTGGGAAGAACCAACCCTAAGCAAAACCCCAATGCACAGTGTGGGGAAACAGGTGTAATTCATGACTTCTGGCTAAGAGAGGCAAACGTTTGCAATGCTAAGGCAGGCAAATGTTCATTTTAAGTCTCCTGAGTACCTCCCCAAATCGAGCTAACCAAGATTGAGTGCAACCTGGCCTGCACATCTGGCAAGCAGAGCACAGGCAGGGAGGGCAGACCCTGTTCCCTGGGGGTGCTGAGGCCCCAAGAGGCAAACGCGAGGTTTTAACGCCAAGGGTGCAGCACCGTACCTGCAGCTGGAGTATCACCATGGAGCACCAAGGGGAAAAAAGAGAGAAGAAAGAGTTAGCTGTTTCCTTTTATGCCCTGGAATGGCAACGTATGGATGAGAACGGGACCAGGACACGCTGGGAGCTCCGGCGCCCGCAGTCGCGCACCTTCCAGATGCTGGCCTCCTTCCCGTACACCACTGCCATGCTGCTCACTTTGCTGGATTTGATGCGCTGCCGCTCGGTCTGGTTGAGCTCCTCCGACACGAAGCCCATGAAGGAATTGTCCGGGGTGTGCGCTGCGGACACCAAGAACAGATGGACACAGCTGGGACCGCGGCTCCAGAGCTTGGAGGAGAAGCGATGTGAAACACCGGCAAAGCGCCTGAGCCCCCGTGACGGCCCCGCTGCGTCCCTATGGCAGTGCTTACGGAACATGGTCATGAACTGGGAGGGGTGCAGGTTCCAGTAGCCCCAGTTGGTGCGGAAGCCGCGCAGCGTGGCGTATTCCTCATGGTTGTAGGCTGGCTCCGTCCCAAAGGTATCGATGACACGAACACGGCACCTGGGACAGGAGACAGAACCCCATCACCTCCCCGTGCCCTAAATGAGCGGTTTCCCATTGCTGGGCTTTCGTCCCCCTGGTGGTTTCCACAACAACGCATCTCCTGAAGACTTGCTAATGCTTTTCCCAATATCCCAGGACTGCTGAGGCAGGCATTACCAGCACGAGAGCAAGGAGAAAAGGGGAACATCAAACCAGAGAGGGAAAAAAAGAACAACAAAACAACAAGCTGAATGCGAGAGCAAATGCATTTATAATAAAAGCAATAACATTGCCTGTCATTTTTCTCTCTAATAAAATTGTGCAGGATAGTGGAAGAGATGGGAGAAAACATAATAAATAGCAGGACTATCAGCACTAAATTAAATTGCATATTCTCCTGGCTGCTGATATAGCAGGGGATGCTGACATTTGTCACGGTGCTGAAGGAGCCGGCGTCGGGGCTCTGCCTCTTGCAGGCATCAAAGGCTCCCACTGCCACAGTAGGGTGGCAACCTCTGCTCACCTGTTGTCCTTTGAGGTCATCGAGATCTTCCTTTGCTTGCTAATTAAGGAAAAGTAGAGCACGAGAAAGAAGTGGTGTTCTCACCTGTATTTCTTAAAGGAGAGCCCCATGTGCTGCTTCATCTGCTGGAGGCCGTGGTAGTCGGTGTAGATCAGGTCAAAAGGCAAAGGGTTCGTCAAGGGGCAGTTTCCCCGTCCTGGAGGCACCCCTAAGTTGCTGGAGGGAAGCAGGAGGCACCGATCAGCTCTGAAGAACACGTGCTCACATCCCTGATGGGTGCCTCCCAGGGGTCATCTGGCAGCCCCATGGCATCCGTGTTGTCTTTGTTCCTTGGGAGACACAGGGACAGCCTCGCCCCAAATATCTGCCCACAGGCAGAGCTCCCAGATGGGCTGGGGTTCCTCTTCTGGTGCTCGGGGGGCACGGAGAACAGCTCTCCGTTCCATCTGCCCATGGATGTTGAGCATATTTACTCATATTTCTGACTTTGTCCCAGAGAAGCTGGGCACCCCAGGTTGGAAGGGGCCATGGGCAGCCTGACCTGGTGCCTGATCGAGTGGTTGGCAGCCGTGTCCATGTTTGAGGTCCCTTCCAACTCAAGCCATTTTGTGTTTCTATGATGACTCTGTGATTTTGCCCCATTAATGACATAACATAATAAAGCCAGGACAGTCAGACTTCGGGCCTTTGCCTAGGATTCTCAGTCAGCTCCTTCAAATAACCTTTCTCAGCCCCTTTTCTCTTCTGCAGCGGATAAAATGCATTATGAAAATCCAGATAAACCGGATTGACCACAATCTCTTTATCAAGATCATCAGTTACCTTGCCCCAACACGCAGTGTGATTAATCTGGCATGATGCACGGCTGGTAAACCAGCAGCATGCCTCCTTCCCTTTTCAATTACCTCTGTGAACTGATGGATCGCTCTCCCCAAAGCTGTTCCATTAAGTGTACTACTGATGTCAGCCCGACAGCCCATCTGCTTGTCTGGACCACATTTCCTCCTCAGAAAAGAAAAAATGTGACACCTTCCAACTCCAGCAGGTTTCTCAAAGATCCTTGCTACATGTACTTGTGATTTCAGTGCAGCAGTTTGCTCAGAAATACAAATGATCCATCCCTCAGTTTCAATATTCCTGCTAGATTTCAGTTTCCCTTCTAGATGTGAACTCCTCAATTATTTCACAGGAGCAGCATAGAGAACCAAAGTTGTTGGCCCCACGATGTTGGGGAACCTGTTACTGGAACAGGTTGCCCAAGGAGGCTGTGGGTGCCCCATCCCTGGAGGCATTCAAAGCCAGGCTGGATGTGGCTCTGGGCAGCCTGGTCTGGTGGTTGGCAACCCTGCACATAGCAGGGGGTTGGAACTAGATGATAACTGTGGTCCTTTTCAACCCAGGCCATTCTGTGTTGGCCCCAGGAAGCTGGCCCCATTTGGTGTGGGTAGGCTCTACCCATCTATCCTTGTAGGTATTTCCTCATTTCTTAGGAATAAAAGATTGTTTGGTGCAATGGGAAATCCATCCTCCAGCCCCATCCCAGCCTGGGACCAGCAGACCAAGGGTGTCCTCAAGCCCCCAGGAGTGACCCTGACTCCAGAACAAGCCATCATGGAACGACACCATGGAACCAAAGCCAGGGTGAGCACAGATTTTCAATTTAAGGCAAAGAGCTGTGTCTGCAGCCGGTTCAGTGCTCCTGTCACAAGGAATATCAGCACCAGCTCTGGGCAGAGCGGCCGGGTCAGCCGCAGGGGAAACAAGCTGCAATTTTATCACTTTTATGGGCAATTTTGCATGACACAGCAGATTGAGAAGATGGCAGGAATAGAAAGGCTCTCACCTCGGAGAACTACCTCAATGAGATAAACAGGGCAGCGAGGAGACCCAGCCCTCTGGGGGACCCAGCCCAATGGTAGCAAGTAGGAGAAGAGGAATTTTTAAGGCACTGAAGATGCCCAGGATGTTACAGAGATACAATAACAAACTCCACATTTGCTCACATACACTCTGTTTTTTCCCTCAGGCACCAGCAATGTGCTCAGTCCCACCACCTGCCAGCTCTCCCCAGCTTGCAGCATCCCTCGTGCTCCCAGCATCGAGTCAGTGTTTTTCCAGCAAAGCTTCTCTCTGTCCTGTTTATTTATCCTTCCTAAACACTTTTTAACCGCTGATTTTAATATTCTAATCATGCAAATCCGGTTTGCAGCTCCTGGGCAGTGGGATTTTTTCCCCTTTCCTCCTTATTTAAACATCCTTTATTCAAGGCTTTCATCATTTGCCAGTTAAGCCAACTAATTTTCTCCTAAGCCCAATTTCACTCATGGTTGGAGTGAGATTTCCATGATTTTCCCCACACCGTGTCCTGTTAACGACGTTTGAAATTAGGCAAATAGAACTGATGAGCACAAATGCTTCTTTCTCAGTGAGCATTTCTGAGAAATGCTCGACCCCAGCACTACACCTGGAGGCAGCCCCCGCAGTGGGACCTGCCTGCAGTGCTGCCCACATCTCATCCCTGCAGCCCAGCTCCCCCCACTCAGCTCCCCCCGGTGCTGGCAGATGCGAGCCCAGCTCCTCTCTGTCAGCTGCTTCCACCAGCTGTGCCCACTCCAGAATAAATCTAGAGCAGCTTCTTGTCCTGCTATTTTCCCCTTGTAAATACTTGAATCAACCAAGGGGATGCATTCCCTTCCTGAGTGTGGGGCAATCTGAATTCAGATGATTGCAGGCTTGTCTTTACATCCCATTGACCTATTTTCAAATTAACCCAAACTTTTCTTCCAGGATGGGAGGGAATGGCCTTATCTTGTGCCTGGGGAGGTTCAGGTTAGGAAAAACTTCTCTGAAAAAGTGGTGATGCATTGGCTGCCCATGGCGGTGGGGGAATCATCATCCCTGGATGTGTTCAAGAACCATGGAGATGTGGCACTGGGGGATGTGGTCAGTGGGCACAGTGGGGTTGGGTTGGTAGTTGGATTGGATGATATTCTTGGTCTTTCCAACCTTAATGACTCTATGACTCAAAATTCAACAATAACCGGCTAAATCCCACAGTGGTTAATAAGGTTATCATAACCTCTCCATGATTAAAGCAGAACTTTCTGCAGTGGCACCAAAGCCAGCCAGCGAGTCCTCATTTGGCTACAAAACAAACATATTTCACGAAGGAGTGCAATTTAACAGCTCAGTAATTCGTGCTAATTTATGCACCTTCCTCTCCTACAGGATGAAGACCTCAGAGGTGGTGGAAATCCCTCCCCATCGCTCTCACCCTCATCCCCACTCCTTGCCTGGCACATCTCAAAGCTACCCCTTGTTGCTGCTGGAATTAAAGGGGGTTAACTGGAGTCGACTGAAGTTAACTGGAATTGACTGGACTTGACTTCCTGGATGGGAGAGACTGGAGCGAGCCAGGAAGGGATCTGGGCAGAGCTGAGCCCCAAAGATACACCGAGGATGCAATGCGAAGCTAAATGAACCTGCATTTGGAAACATGCTGCCACTGAGAATGGCTCTTTCTAGTTGGAAATACAGCAATGAACAAAGAACCTTCCTAGGAAAGATGAAGAACTGCCTGGGATAGGGAGCAGCAGGAGCTCTGGTGCTGGCAGAGCCTGGGCAGAGCCTACTGCCTCTTGCTACCTCAGCTCAACCACGGTACCCACAGTCAGGGCCACTGCTGGCCGTCTGTGTGATGCCAGCACTGCGTCTGCCAACTGCAGAGGGATGGTGATGCCTGCAGCCTGGGCTTTCACACGAACAGATGCAAGACAGAAAGATGGCTTTTATCTGCCAGAACATAATTAGAAATGCCTTCAGCTGGACACCGCCTTTCCATTCGAATGGCCCTTTTTGCAGCCTGAGTACACCTCAGCGGCGGTGGAAAGCGCAGGAAAATAGCAGCTCTAATTATGTGTATGGCAGGCAGCGAAGTGGGAGCTGCAGCTTCGGCTGTGGGATGTGGTTCTGGGGCTGTGCAAAGCCTCATGCCATGCTGTGCCCCACGTGGGATGCCCCTTGCCTCCACCCCAGGGCTGGCAGCACGGAACGAGGACATGCCTAGAATTAAGTGCCTTGCCAAGGCCCATATTATGAGCCCAGGACTTGACACCAGAGCAATTAAGCTCCGAGAGCACTTCGTAAAGCACTGACCCCACGAGGCATCAAATCCCGTTTTCTTCGACTTTCTGTCCTGCCTTATGAGCAGTTAATTTCAAGGGGGCAATTTCAAAAGCACCTTTCAGCGCCTCCGAGATCAATGCTCCCCATCACTCCCATTCTCCTCCCCAGCAATCCCTACATGCAGCTGGCGACGCTGACATGATGACAGCCACCGGTGCCCATCATCACATCACATCCCATCACCAGCTGCATTTAGAATGGGGCAGGAGCCCACCGTGCCATGTCTGCAGGGGGGCTGGGGAGGCAGAGGCTCAGCTCTCTGCACTCATAGGCTCACAGCGCAGTGGTGCAGCCTGGTGCTGCTGCTCTCCTCTTTGGGAGCCAGGGCACAGCCGTGTTCCAGCACAGCTAACGAGTGCCCAGCAATTTCTCATGCCCGTTACTGGGTAATCTCATGTGTTGCCTCTTGCCTCACATCAGGAGGCAGCTAACAAATTCACAGAAGAGGACAAACACCTGCATGTTGTTCAGCAGCTCTGGTAGGTCACAGCAGTGTCATTCACAGGTCTCGAATGAGTGGCTAAAAGCTGAAGCAGGTGATGTTTTGTGTCCGTAATTGAGCTCTTTAGGAAGTGCTGAGCTACAGGATCTGCCCAACCAGGACAGACAGACAGAGAGTGCAACAGGAACAAAGGGGTTAAGGGATGTGATGGGGACATGCAGCACGCTGCCCATCGGGGAGGGGAACAACGCACTGGTTTGGGACAGTGCATTCACCTTCAGAAACAGCCCTCCAACTGCTGCCTTCCTTCCTCCTGCCTGCCTGATCCTCAGCACTACAGGCCCAATCCTGACCACTGCCTCCGAGCACTGCTGCATTGCAATCAATACACACACTAGTAATGAACAGCTGCTCGTAGGTAACTATTGGCTGAAGCACGCGCACGCAAACCTTTTAGCAATCCCTTGCCAATGATCAATACGTGTATAAAAATCAGCTCAGAAATGCAAAGAGACAAACCAGGAGAGAGGTTATTTCATGCTGAATAATTCACGGGTACCCATGCAAGGCCGTGCTGGGCAGGAGCATTTACAACTCCGAGCTGCAAAGAGAGCAGGGGTTACCAAAGAGAAATGCATAAAATGCAGAGTCAACATTTCACATTTATGGAGCAAAGCATCTCCAAACCAGACTGCTGGCTGCACGTTGAGCTGCTGATTGCATCCCAGGCTCTCTGCACACCCGCAGCAGCAAAACCCCCGTTGGGCTTTGGCTAAGCATACGAGATTAATGGTAGCACAGCTCGTTATTAACCACGCTTGTTCAGCTAAGTCTCCTGCTTGCTCCTGTGGTGTAAGGGCTTATCTCTGCTCTGCTCTGAGCCACACTGCCCCACAGCAGGGATGTTTCTGAAAGGTCAGCAATAAAGAGACAGATGCACCAAGTCTGCTCAGCACCCCACAAAGGGACCCCTGCATCCACCAGAGGGACAGGACTTCCTCCAGACCCAGACAAGACCAGGAGCCCCATCCTAGGGCAATGCAGGGGCTCCTTCCCCTCATTAAACCACCGCCATGAGGCTCTCCATCAAAAAACACAAATGAGAACCACACAACAACAAGGACACCCTGCCAGCCATTAACTTCACCCATCCTCGGGCACAGGGACATTATTCAGTGTGTCAGTCCAACCCAGCAGGGGCACAGCATGGAGATGGCTGCAATGCATTCCTGCGCCTTTCTGAGAAGCTGCACGAGGACCAGGATTATAATTTTTTTAGTTAATTGTCAGGAGCTAATTCTGTTCATTAATTCTGAATGCTGCAAGGGCTGGGTTGGATTTTTTCATTGTGTTTTTTTCTTTCTCTCCAAGATCGCTGTTTATTTTTCTCACTCCCTTTCCAGCACGGCTCATTATGCAGCAGAGCTGGCTTAAGCATCACCCAAAATCTTGGCGGCCCACAGGACAACACAGGGCTGTTCTCCATTCACAACCTGCCCCCTCCAGCATTTTCACTGGCACTTGCCCTGCAGCTCACATCCCCTGCAGCAGCTGAGGAGAGCTTTGTGATACCATTGGCACCACCAGCCCGGTCATAACTCAGCATGCAGCAGAGCCCAGGTGTCTCATACACAGTTAGCATCTCCTTTTTACCTTTTCTGCTGAATATTCGTCTCTCTTGGAGCCCACACAAGTGCTTTGAGTGGCTGGGTGCAGCCATCTGCTTGCACTTGCTCTGCATTTCCATATGCCACACTGCAGAAGTGTCCCAGCAGTGGCCAATTCCCACCCAGGTCACTCTGCAGCCACCACCCTGCAAGGGATGGGGGTTATTTCTGGCAGCCTTACTCAGCCACTCAGCAGGAAGGGTGGGAGGGGAGGAAGGAAGGAAAGAGCACAGCCACTGCTCACACAACACCGGAGGAGAGTTGGGGGCTGAGCACCCCCTATGCACTGAAGCATAGGACAGCTGTGTCATGGGGCCATGTGTACCTGCGGAGAGCATCACTGGGGAGCAGGGGACACAGGAGACACAGGGGATGCTGTGTGCTGCAAGCGATGCATCAGTAATGCTCAGATCTAGCACCATGATTACAGGGCAAAGCCTTACCCTAACAGCCTGCACTATGCTTTGGTTTCATAGAATCCTAGGGCACCAACCTCTGCAGCTCCTTCAGTGAGACTGTCACCTTCAGGCTGTGTCCCAGCAGGAAAAGGGCAGCCAGGATGTCGGCCCACTGCACCATCTCGCCCAGGGGCCCCCCTTTCAGCACCCGTGGGCTGAAGACGTCCCCTGACTCCTCGGTCAGGAAGCCGATGTGAATCAGGATCTGCAGAGAGAGGGACAACAAGCTGCTGACAGCCAAAAATGACTGCTGGTCCCTTTCCACTTCTGCAGGCTGAAATTACTCAGGGAAACCACTCTGGTGTAAGGACAAGCGGCCTATGTCCAATTAGCAGAGATCCAATATTCAGTGTCTAGCTCTATCTTCAGACATGGTCCATTTTCCTCACGCACACTGGGGTTTGTCCATGGATGCAGAGCACATCTCCCTGTAGAAAGGGGCCTAGAGGGCAGCAGGAAAATGCCTCCAGCATCTGAAAGGAGATGTGCCACCTCATGCCCCACTCACTGCCAGTACCAACCCAGGGATGGACACCTCCTGCTGACCAGGACCCAGCTCCAAAGTCCTGCCCAGCTCTTCAGCCATGGCCACGACCACCCCACTGATAACACAGCTCGAACCCCACAGATCTGCTGCTATCACTTCCCCATGTCCTCATCCCCACATCAACCCCGCCACGCAATTGGCTCCTACATGTTTTTGGTCCCCCTGCCGTCCCTTCAGCTTCTGCTCGAGGCGTCGGGCTGCCCGCAGCCACTGCTGGGCCAGGTGCCGGATCCTCTTCTTCATGAAGCTGAGGGACTCCTTGCCCGTGCCCACCAGCTCCAGCAATGGGGCCAGGTCGCTGCGGAAAGCTGCCTGCAGGAATGGAGCACTGCTGATTGCTACCAGGCATCACAGAATCACATAACCATGAGATATCCCACATTGGAAGGCACTATGAGGAGCACTGAGTCCAACAAAATGACCACCCAAAACTCAATCCTAACTCTGATAGCGGTGTCCAAAGTCCCAGTGGCTCAGGGAAATGCCCGCTGCCCTGGGGAGCTGCTCCATGCCCACCAGCCTCTAGTGCAGAAACTTCTCTTAACGTCCAATCTGAGCACTTGTAATAAAATTGCAATTAGGGTCCATTAGAGAGGGGTGGTTTCACTTGCATGTTTTCTAAACTGGTGCCTCTTTGTGGCATCCCAGGTGGCAGAGGACCTGCATGTGGCATCAAGATGGGCGCTGGGGGTCTGCTGGCACCACTGCCTTGGGGGCACCACTGTCACAGCCCCGACTCCATTGTTATCCCATGGACCCTACCTGGGCGCGGGGCAGCGGTGGAGGGGACGGTGCGGCCGTCTGGTTCCTCCAGGGTAGGGGAGGGCAGAACCACTCAACTTCACTGAGGTAGATGAGGAAGGAGCACTCGGTGCCATCCACGCCAAAAAATGCATAGCAGGGGTCAGAAGTCCACCTGGCCCTCATCCACTGCAAAGGGACAAAGGAACACAAATGGGGCTCATCCACACTCCCAGCTCACGCACCCACAGCTGTCCCTGAGGTGGTTCTGGGTGCAGAACAGCCGCTGATTGCAGCCCCCATTCATCACCCCCCGACCAGCCTGTAGTTAATTCACCAAATCTACTCAGAGACAGCTCGCTGTGCCCGCTATGTAAAATGTACCAATCACCCAGACAGGAGATCGAATTATAGCCTTCGACAATTAAATTACATTCCAAATTAACTCCAATTGTGGATAGAAAGGATGCCCAGCACTGGGGGAACGAGGAAGATCTCGTGCCCCAGTCCAGTGTTGCTTCAATATACCCTTCAGCATCCTTTCAGGTAGAATCAGCCCAGAGCCGGAAGCAGCAGGCTGGGAAGGAGGGGTGAGGGGAAATGTTTTTAATTAGCCCACATAAATGTGCTCTCTGACAAAGAGATCACACTGAAGGCCAAACGGCAGGCTGTGTGCAGGTGTGGGGAGCATGCAGTGTCAGCCAGGACATTGCTTCAGAATGGAGGTCCTTGCCACCATAACGAGATGTGCTCCTGTGCCATGCTGGGATTATTCCCCAGGCACCAGCCGTGCCCCAGATATTTAAAGAAGATATGACAGCGCTTTCTCCTCACCGTGCTTCTGACATTAAACACAGAAAGTACAGGCAAGGAGAGGCAGCCTCACAGAGATGGTTCTGCTGCTGCCTGCAAAGCTGCGGGTACAGCCTCACACCTCCCCGTGGCCTCATGGCAATTGGGCATGTGGGGAGCTTCAACTCACCTCCACCTTCCCAGCGCAGTCAGGGTACTTGGGGTCCCTGGGCACCTCGCACTGGTCCCTCCTGCCATCCCCCACTGCAGAGAGACAAGGAAGGTAGCAGATGCCAACACAAGAAACGGATGGGGCTGGAAAAGCTGGGCACCTGAGGACAACACTCACTTTTTGCATTCATGAGGCTATTCCGGAGAATCTGGTCTACCTTTATTGCGATGTCTGAGACGTTTTGAGCTATAGCTTGGATCCTCTCCATCAAACCGGCCGCTGGCTGCAACCTGGGAAGAAAGAAGAGAGACCCTACAAACATCCTGAAAATCCAGGCTTGCGGAGGCTGGATTGTAGGCTGCAGGCTTGTAGGCTGCAACACGGCAGTGCCTCGTTCAGCAGAGAGCTTTGAAGAGTTCTGACTTTAAAACAGCATAAAACAGTTTTTCTGCTATTTTTTGCAGCACGCTCATAAACAGCAATACATCTCTGCGTTTTACATCGGGAACTGCTAAATATGCTGGCGAAATCTGTTTGCGTTATTTCAGACGTGCTATGCTTGAAAATCCTCTGCTGTGATTATCGGCCTTGCAGCGCAAGCAGGAAGGCACGGGGAGTTAAAAAAGGAGAAAGAACCAAAAATTGAGCAAAAGGATGACAAAAATAGCAACAGGCAAAGAAAGCCCTGAGAATCACAAACAACGACGCACGGATGGCCTGAAGTCCAATCCCACTGACAACGAGCAGATCTCCAGACCCAACGGTGAAGGCTATGGGGCAAGGGGAGATGGCAGAGACAGGGAGACCGGCAGCAGAGCCCAAGCTGGCACTGAGCTCCATGTCGTGGCCCCATAGAGCTCCTGGGCACCATCCCAGTGTGGTCAAAGACCCAACCCCACTGGCTCGAATGGCTGCACATGGCAGCTATTGAACCGCCGCTCGCAATCAATCCCAGCTATGTAAACAGCAACATTACCCTCCACACAGCTCCTGGCACAGACAGAGCAGCACGAGTGACAGAGCACGGCAGAGATGCCTGATGTCAATTAAAACCTGATGTCAGGTATAAAAAGGGCAGAGAATTCAATCCGTGAGCAGCGGCGCCGCACTCAACAGATTTCCACCTCCAATGCTCCACTTGCCATTTCCACTGCAAACGACGCCTTGATGAGCGCCGTTATCACAGCAAATAATTTCCCCTTCTGCAGCGGCTGGGTCATGGATTTTTCTTGCTGCTGCTGAGATCATTATAATACAAGGAGGTGTCATAAGCAGTGAGCAGGACCAAAAGGGCTACCTTGAATACCGCTGGCACAAAAATATGTGCTGATATCAGGCCCTTCCCTCTGAAGTTTTATGTTTGTTCTCCAGCAGATCACTGAAGCTGAAGGCTGCGATTTAAAGTACCTCTGTCCTCAAGGCTAAAAAAATCCTGGGTTTATGAACCGATACTGCTCCGGCTGTTGATTTAAGGTCCACTCTCCAGCAGCAAGCAGCCCACATTTTTCCTCCTGGCATGGTTTACAACCATCGATACTCAACCTGCATACCTCCACGGGGAACCACATATCTTAGGCTTTTAAGAAATAATAAATGCAGAGGATGCCATTGCCCCTAAGTAACTTTCAACCTTTTGCAGAGAAGAAAGCCCAGGTCTCCTGCCAGCTGCTGTAACAGGGAGAATCCTTGTGAGGCCCTGGTAAAACACAGGCACAGAAATGAGCTGTGACAAGCTTAGCTTGTGAGCACAGCTTCAGTCTGAGGGAGCCCTGAAAGCTCCTAAATCCCTCTTTTCTGCAGGTCTTTATCCACCAGGAAGCAGCAGTCAGACCACTGTACATGTCTGTAGGGACAAAAAAAAAGGTTGGGATGGGCAGGATAGGAGCAAACTCAAGAATGAGTGAATTTAGAGTCAACAAGCCCAACCTTCTGCTCAAACAGGACAGGGACGTTGGGTGGTGTAGCTGCTCCCCATGTTTCCCCAGCACTCATAGGAATGCAAGAGGATGGGAACAGATACAACTTCTACCTCCACCTAGAAGCCATCCCAACCCCTGATAGGCTCTAAACCAGCTTGCAAACAGCCAAGAATTTGGTGAATCCCAAAGGCCCATGTCATTGCAGGAGAGTTGGACTAGATGAGCTCTAAAAGTCCCTTCCAACACAAATAATTCCATGAAAGGTTGAATGTCTCCATCCCATCCCTAAATGTGAGATTCTCCAAGGTTGAGAACTGGCAAATGCATTCATGTGAGATCAGGACTGTCCAAACCCAAGGCTTTCTCTGGGCTCATCCTCACAAACAGCCTGCATCCTGCTGGCTCCCAAGACTTATCCTGGCATTTATGTCAGCCTGCCTGGCTCCTGTATGATACAGCTGTTCCCTGAACACAAAGGCTTCAAGGCAGAGCCCTTTGATATTAAAAGGGTGTTTGATCACGGTGTGCAAGCAGCACTTCTAGTTCTCTTGAACAAGACATCCACGTTGCATTCATGTGCAGAACGTTCAAAGTGCAGAAGCCTTACCTAATAGGAACTGAAACAACCTGGATCAAGAAAGGGAATATTTCCTTCCCTTCAGCTATTTTGGAGTTGAAATGTCCAGCACAGTTCTTGGCGTCTTTCATATGTTAAAAGGAAGAAATAATCATAAAAAACACCCAAAACAGGGAGTCACACTCCATCTCCCACCCCTCACATGCTCACCACTTTCAATACCCAAAGCAGCTTTCTCCAGCAAGGAGTTTCATGCTTGGGGTGAAAGCTGCACCGGTGCTACAGGGCTGCAGCTCGAGCAGGACATTTCATTGAATGCATTAATGAGACGACAAGGAGGTTAAGTAGAAGTTATATCAATTATCATTAAAGTGATTTGTCTCCTGAGCAGAGGACAAGGAAATAAGACAGTTAAAAGCAGAAGCTCAAATGCAAGAAGGTTTTCCTGGAGCTCATCAGAATCTGATGCCTTACTCCTAGTAACTGGAGAAGGACAAGGTGAGGGGCCCATGTGCTAAATGACAGCTAAGCAGGATGGAGAGATTGTTTGTCATCCTAAAACACCACAGCAAAGCACGAGCATGGTGAAACCCAGAGCTTGTCCCCAGCCATCCCCTTGCACAGAGCCCTTTCTCCTTGCTGCTTTTTGACTGTTCCTATAGCGACAATATAAATGCCACCAAAATACACGGGGACTATGCCAGCATTGAAACTATAGTAAATTGCTATAAGTTTTCTGGAACAAATTTTTCCCTGGGAACTTAAAACCATTTACTGCAGCAAATACAGTACTTTTACTCCTAACCATCAATATTGATTTCATCTTTATTATTTTCAGATTTATACTTCCCCACGTTGATTACGATTCAGATCACGCTGTGGCTTATAATGCACTGTATACAGTATTCATCTCATTCCAAAAACTGCTATTAAGACGTATCTTTCCCCACAGGCGGATCATTTGCCACATAACACAGCCAGAGGTTGAGTTTTCCTTTCCTTTTTCATACATTAATTTGCTCCCCTTCGCTTTGCCTTTTGCCCCCAGCCCTGCCGCACTAATTCAGCCTCAGCCTGGTTATCTCTTCACAGAGCACCACGCTTTTATTGCCTTTTATAAAAAGCAGCATTAGGAAAAGACAGATCTCCTCCTATTTGCGTGTCGTCTCCGTAATACAAACCCTGAGCATGTTTGTTTGCTCTTCTTACATTTCTTCTGATCGCTGTTGGAGAGGGCGATGCGCACGGAGAAGAGCAGATGTTTGGACGGTAACACATCCACATCCCAGCACTCATGCAGAGCCCTTCACCAAAGGGCTGTGCTTGCTCATGATGATATTTGTGCTGCCATTTGCTGCTTTACAATCATAGGATCATTAAGGTTGGCACGGCCTAAGACCATCCACTCCAATCACCGACCTGTGGCCAATACTGCCCGCTGCCCACGTTCCTCAGTGCCACATCTCCATGGCTCCTGAGTGCCTCCAGGGATGCTGGGTGACTCCACCACCCCTCTGGGCAGCTGTGCCGCTGCATCATGATTTTACAGAGAATATTGAAAGATTTTGCTACCCAAAGACACGAAGCAGAACAGCAATCCTTTGCTCTCTGTGAATTCATATGGGGCAAACAACCTGGCGAATGCTTTTTGGGACAGGAGAGCTCCATGGGATCTCATTTGAAGCAAATACTGGATGTTGCAAGAGCAGAGCTGAGCTACATCCAAGCAAACTGCAGAAAGGAAACCACGCGCGCGGCCAGCCCCAGCTGTCCAAATGACAGATCGAGTCATAAATACCAGGGTATTTTACACGCTGAAGTATTTCAATTTATTTTATTTTCCATTTACAGCAGTAGATGTTGCTCACAAAAAATGCATTTAAAGGGCCAGACCCTGAGTGAGCTGCAGCCCTCGAGAAACCTCTGCCATTTCAGCAATGAATTGCACGAAAAATAAGATCTCTTGGCAAGAGAACAAGTTGCAGCCAGAATCACAGACCTGCCGGGAGCAGCTCACACCAACACATTGACCAGTTCCAGTATCACAGACCTGCAACTTGCACTGCTGCAACACAAGCAGAACTTGCCAGTAGTCAAAATTGTTGATTAAAATGTTGTAAGAATGCTGTAAGATGCTGAGAGATCCTTCCCAAGCAGATTATGGGGCTGCAGTCACAAGCCCAAGCCTTGTTTTCTTAGAATCATAGAATCCCAGAATGGTTTGGGTCGGAAGAGACCTCAGTGACCATCCAGTCCCAACCTTCCTGCTGCAGGCAGGGCTGCCAACCTCTACACCAGGTACCACATCAGGTTTCCCAGAGCCCCATCCAACCTGGCCTTGGGCACCTCCAGGGATGGGGTACCATGAGCAGAACAGAGCCCTAAGCACAGGCAGCAGCAACTTATGTTCCTGGGAACATGAAGGGTTATGGCTCAGTCACTTCAATGTCCATTCATCTTCACTTGATAGGGGCATAAATCAGCTACATGTGCCTCCATGCCCAGACAGTTTGATGCCTGCAGGCTGCTGGGAAGAGCCTTTGGTGAGTCCAGGAGGCTTCACCGTTCCTCCATGGAAGCTGCCTTCAAGTCATCCCCAAAACACCCAGTTGTGCCCACACACCATTCTCCAAGATCCCTGTTGTGGGCACCAATGGAGGATGCACTCAAATTCCATGGTGCTGAGGACTAGCCAGCCACCCAAGCACAGCTCAAAGCCACTTGCCCTTTGTGTGTCGAGGCATCAAACCACCCCTTCTGCAAATACATAAGGCAGCCCCAAGAGCATCGCTGCTTCCGGGTGCAAAGGCCCAAAAACAGCAGAAAGCAAAGGCTGCTGAGGAAGTGGTTGCAGAAAACCTGGAGGTGCTGGATAGATGCAAGCACAGAATTGATAAGAGAGAGGACCTGGGTGCTGCTGGGGGTGCCCACCTTCAGCAGAAGTGTCACTGAAGGCAGCTCTTTAATGGCAGCAATTTGGGGAGCCAGGTTGGCAGGATGCAGGAGCATCACCCACTTGGAGTCATACTGTGAGACTTCTAATTCCCAGGGGAATATGGAGTTGTGTAACAATTATAAGAACAAATACTTGAAGTGCGTGGAAATTAACTGAGCCTCGGCAGTAATTAAGCCTGAAGATTAATCAGCCATTAGTAAACAACAGCCTACACGTTACCCACCACACAGGGCCAGTGGATGAGAAGGGCAGCACGGCAGACCCCCACCCGGGACCCCGCTGTCACCTGCCACCTGAGGACAGCCCCAGCACCCAGACCTGGGCTCCTGTGAGCCCCCAGCTCTCGAGTCCAGCTGAGATCAGCCCCTGCACAGCCCCTCCATCCCTCCCTAGGTTCTTTCCAGCCAGGCACCACTGCTCTCACCGTGTGCTAATACTTCCCCTGCCCAGCAAACAGCTCTCCAGGAGGCTTCCATAAGTACTTCTCATTTCCTGCCCTCTGATGATTTATGAGGGTTGCATTCAATTAACAGTGGTATTGATTTTCCCGCAGCTGACTGGCAGCCTGCTCGTGCTTGTTGGAAAATTCATCGCTTACCTTTCTGCATGGGCAGGGAGCAGGAAAGGCTGGAAAAGGCATTCAGCAAAATCCAGCAGAATTCAGCAAAATCCAGTAGATTCTCAGCTCATGCCTTCCATCCCAGATTGACAAACTAGGGGCCTTCACAAAAAAATCCTGGTCACCTTATCTAAAGAGGATGTTGGACACCTCTGTCTATCCAAAGCTGTCCCTGAAGCATTGCAGGAGATGGATTTGACACATGTGAGTGCCTATAGACAGCACCTATGGGGCAACAAGCAAAGCTTCAGGTGACTTTAGCCATGAAAAACCCTGCAGTCACTTCCAGCTGCGTTGCTCCTGACAGCTGAGCAGATTTCCAAGGCTGCTAATTAATTATATCTCGCTTATTTGAATTCCTCTATGCACTTTCTGAGTAGAAAGCCATCCCTGCAGGTCTGACATGAGGGCACTGGGAGCAAGGGACATGCTGGGGGCTGTGCTGCTGGTTGATGATCTTGAGGTCTTTTCCACCTCCAATGGTTCTATGATCCCATGGACGACCTTGAGGATCTTCTCCAACCTTAGTGACCCTATGATTCTATAGACTTGAGGGTCTTTTCCAACATCAGTGATTCTATGGCTCCATAAAGCACAGAGGAGCTTTGGCTCATTCCTGCCCAGGAGGTGCCCCCACCTCCACTGTTTTTATGGAGATCCAACACAGCAGGAGAGCCCCTGGTAGAAGCAGGGCAGATCCCACTGCTGCTCAGGGGGAGTCGCGGGTGCCTCTGCTGAGCAGAGGAGGACACAATTGTGGCAGCCGTGCTAACCAGAGGGGCTTTAAAGAATTAAATCCCTTTGAAATTATCACCCTTTAATTGTATTATCATTCGCTGACAGCTTCAAGTCGGTCACTGGAGATCAAAGGAGGGTGTTTGTAAATGCTGCTGGGACCATCAGCCCCACCACAATGCCTTCATCTGCAGACACAGGATGCAAATTCAGCCTTAATATGGGCTGGATGACAGTGCAGGAAAATGACTGTATGGTACCAATGGTCCATGCAGCAGCTCAGCTCGATGGAGATGGAGCATGGGACTGCTTCCAAGTGGTGTTTGTAGCATGCACACAGCCTCACTCGTTTGCACGGGTTCATCTCACTGCTTTTGTCGTTTGGGATGCTCTCAGAGGGGAAATGTTTAAGGAGGAAAAGGTGATGAGCTGGAAGAAGTTGATCCTGCCAAGGAATACTCTGCTCCTGAAAATTAAGGGATCTGTAATTTCAGCCGCTCAATGCCATCTCAGCACAGCTACAAAATACAGAGGATGCCTCCATGCACTCCATGCTCTACAATCCCTCTCAGGCTCAGCAGGATCAGACACCCTCAGCACAGACAGGCCACCATGTGGCACCAAGAGCCACGATTCCCTTCGAGAAGCCCAAGACCACCCTGGGGATGAGCAATTCCCTGGGGCTGCTGCCACCCAATGTGAGCAGCGACTGCTGCCAGCTCATATAAATGCCTTTAAGTTCATCTCTGATGCACAGAAATTATTACAACCTGGAATTAATGGTTCATTTAATGAGAAATTCGCCCAAAACATCACCAAATGAGAGCAAGTGCCTTCCAGTCTAGCAGCCACATCCCTTCCTCTCCAGGATTACTGCTGGTGCACATGGCCAACACGCAGCCTCGCAACAATAAAATCCCCAGCACCTGCCATTACAGAGGCAAATTATATTTTTCAGTGGTTAAAATTACATTACTTAAAAGGCAAAGCCATGCACTCCCAGGCTTCCTGCACAGCTTTAATTCGTGTGTGCACTCAGTTCAGCGCAGCACAGCCTTTAATTACAGGCTCTCTTACTATATTTTCTATTATCGGTGCAGAAGAGGCTCATAAGAAAAGCAGTGGGAGAGGAATGGAAGTGATCATGGGGACGGGGAAGCACAGAAACCCTCAGTGGTGACAAGGCAGTGGAGACCTTTGCACACCCAATGGGTCACCCACAACTCCATCAGAGCAAAATCAACAGCACCAGGTAGAAGATGAGGGCCTGCAAGGTTGGGATTTTCCAGCCCCACTCCAAGGTTCTGGGCATGGCAACCACCCTACGAAGCCCCCAAGCTCATGATTTTGGGGACAGCAGCGGCGCATGGGGGCATCGGTGCTTCCAACTGACCTGTCCAGAGGGAAGAGTGCCTCGTTCCCTTTGTGGAAATCAGTGCCGTTCTCCAGCCTGGCCAGGATGTCCATCCTCTTCATCAGCAGCTCCAGCATGTCGCTCATCCGCCGCAGCACCCCTCGGGACTCCAGAGCGCCCATCACTGTGGGGCACAGAGAGCAAAAGGGACACAGTCACAGCCAGGCGCTGCCAAGGGGACTGAGCTGGGTGCTGAAGCAGAGCCTCTGCAAAGCTCAGCCCCAAAGCTGCCCTCACTGCACTCCCCAGCCCTGGGCACAGTGCTTCAGGGAGCACACGCTGCCCTGCTGTCCCCTTCCAGCTTTGCAGCCCCATACCTGCTTTTATATACCAGCAGAGCCCTGCCGCACCTGAGTTTGGCTCAGGCAATAGATCCCTGTTTGTGCATCGCAGCTCAGCCGACTCCCAGCAGGGCAGCCCTGGGTCCCAGCCCCATTTCACACCCTACTGGCACAGCTCAGGTTGCTGTCGTGCCTGCAGCTGTTTCCTGAGCCCCATACCTGCAGCAGGCAGGCTCCTGGTTTGATCTTCAGCGTAATGCCAGTCAGCCCAGAGCCAAGCAACGGAAAATAAAGCTCCTGTTTCATCTCAGCGCCATTCATTTCATGTTAGTAATAACTTAATCAGCACATAATCCCCCAAACTTTTCTCATTTTGCTTATCTCTGCCATTCCACTCAGATAAGCTCTGCGAAGGGCAGTACACATTGCAGTTACAAAGCAGCAGGGGACGAGCAGGCAGCACGGGGACACATGGGCACCCCATAGCATTGGGAAAAGGGCACCTCTGGGGCAGCACAAGCTGTATTCGTGGCAAGAAGTCAGGGACTTCTGCTTGAATCTTTGGATGCCTGAGGTACTGGCCAGGCTGGGGGACACAGGAGCCCTGTTTGTCTGTCCCGGTGCCCAAGCTAGGGTGCAGCCCTCTGGGCAGGACATGAGCCCCAGCTTTCCCCATTAAGAAGCAGAATTGCTAACAAAGCAGAATTGCTAATTTAAAGATTTTGTGGAGGACAGAGGTGGAAACTCAGATGCTGGAGTTCAATTTGCACTGGCCAAGTGCATCTCCAAACACAGCACAAAAAAAGAGCCAACACAAACATAACAGCTGGAAGGGGGGCTTAAGCCAGAAAATGCATCGGGAGCCCACAGCCACGCTGTGCTGCTGGGAAGGAGCGAGGACAGAGCCTGGAAAGGGAGTGAAGATGATTTACAGCCACTGAGCCGGGCTGCTGCCCCAGTTTGCAGCCAGACTGCATCCGTTTAATTAAGGATGCTTGTTTAGTGGTGCTCCTCGTTTGAAATTCAAACGGCTGCTCATACAGCCCTGGCACGGAAGCAGCTCTGCCCCTTATTAAAGCACAGAACCTGGAAAAGCCCTTCCTGAGGGGCACTCACATCCCCAGGGGCTCCCCAAGGAGAATTCCCACATCCTTCCTCCGCATCCCAGCGCTCCTTCTTCCACATCCCAACTCTCCTTCCCTGGCATCCCAAAGCTGCTGCTGGGGAGTGGAGTTCTCCCTGTGGGCAGCACATCCCCTGCCCAAAAGCAGCAGTCCCAGCACGTGTTCCCCCACCCATGCCCTCCCCTGGCTCCCAGGGATGAAGCTGAAGCTCTTCCCCACCAACCCCTCTCTTTTTCTGCTGTTGGCCTTTTTGTTGTTGTTGTTCCAGGAGCTTAAGGAGGATAACAAGAACAATCTGACACTTTTGGCAACGATTATTACATCGCTTGGAAAGTGTGCCTCATTAAAACCCAAAAGAAAGGAGGAAAAGTGCTGAAGCGACTCTTTTAAACACGCAGGAGCTGGGATGGATTCATTAACCTGTGGCGGAGCGCTGTGTCTGGGGGGAGCCACGCAGCCCCAGAAGGGGATCTGCAGCCTTGAAGCCATGATGAAGAGTATGGCAGGAGGCAGGAGAACCCAAAACCCCTCTCAGCAGCACAAACCCCTGCAAAACAAGCCTGGCAAGCGACTTTTCTCAGCAAAACAAAAGCAAAATACAAAAGGAGAAATATTCTAATTACCCCAGATAATCAGCTCTGATGGGAAAGAAAACACAAGAAAACTGCTCAATGGATTAATTGGAGTTTGCTAAAGTATGACAGCTCCTGACAGCTCTCTGAGCGGCAGGCACTCTTTAAAGGCAATCACCAAACCTGACAGAGGTTTTCATAGTGGCACTATGAAATAATGATTGCAATCAATCATATCTTACTGGATTTCGTGAGACATGCTGGTAAACACAGCGAAGGGAGGAGAATTATTTATGGTGCCTCAGAAGAGCATACAGCTAAGTAATTGGATGAAATCAGGGGAGGAAAAGAAAGCATCCCCTCAGGGCGACGGCTATTGGAAGAAGAAAGAGTTTCTCTGCAGAAGCGGTGGAACAGTCAGCAGCCGACGTGTCGGGATGTGGATGGAAGAAAAAAAAGTGTTTCTCTGCAGAACTGATGGAACAGCCAACGTGTCGAGGTGCGGGTGGGTCCTCCCAGCCATGCTGAGGAAACTGAGGCACATCTGAGCCCACCTCCCTGGCGTTGAGAACGCAATTTGACAATATATCCTCGCTGTTTGTAACATGGCTGATTAGTTGTGGATTTTTTTTTCCCTCCTTCTCAGACATAAGTCACATCATGCCTGCCTGGCTGTCGCACTACAGCTGAACGCTCCGCTACAAGCAGGGAATTTGCTCAGCGATGCTGAGGCATTACTTACATCCACTGAAAATACCAGCTGAATTAATTTCAATCTAAAGCATCATTTGCTCAGCTTTGTTTTCCTCCTCTAAAGGACAACCGGAGGCTACTTAAACTCCTCAAAAGGACAAGGTGGATTGCAAGGGAGGAGCAGCTGCTCCCGGCTGCTCAGCAGCGCCCAGCCTTCAGCTTCGCGCCGCCCCGGGGCCGCAGGGACGGAGATGCGCGGGGCGGGCGCTGGCCGTGGTGCTGATCTGAAAGCACGAACCCGCCGCGCGCCTCCATTAACCCGCGCTATTGATTTTGGTTCAAGCGGATTAAAAGAGCAAAGCAACTCGCCAAGGGCTCCTGCTAGCCCTGGAACGTAATCCATCGCAGCCACAGCACGGAAATGCTGCGCTACTTGGCACCAGTTGAGCCCCAGGGCAGACCTGAGCCACCCCTGGTCTGCAGCCCTAGGAAGGGACAGTGTCATAGAAAGGCTTAGGCTTGTCCAGCGGAGGGCCACAAAGATGGTGAAGGGCCTGAAGCATCTCTCTTATGAAGAAAGGCTGAGTGAACTGGGTCTGTTCAGCCTTGAGGAAAGAAGACTGAGAGGGAACCTGATCCAGGTCTATAAATATCTAAGGTGTGGGGGGCAGAATGGCGAGGACAGACTCTTTTCAGTGGTGAATGGAGACAGGACAAGGGGAAATGGCCAGAAACTGCAGCATAGGAAGTTCTGCACCAATGTGCGCAAGAACTTCTTTACAGTGAGGTGACGGAGCACTGGAACAGGCTGCCCAGGGAGGTGGTGGAGTCTCCTGCTCTGGAGATGTTCAAGACCTGCCTGGATGCCGACCTGTGCGACCTGCTGTAGGGAACCTGCTTTGGCAGGGGGGTTGGACTCGATGATCTCTGGAGGTCCCTTCCAACCCCTATAATTCTGTGATTCTATGAAAAGGACTTAAAGATCATCCAGTCTACAGTTTAGAGAAAGAGACTCTTTATCAGAGAATGTAGAAATAGGAAGAGGGGTAATACCTTTAAACTAAAGATGGGGAGATTCAGATTACACATGAGGCAGGTATCACAGCGAGGCGCTGGCACTGCTGCCCAGAGATGCTGTTGGTGCCCCATCCCTGGAGGTGCTTGAGGCCAGGTTAGATGCACTTTTGACAGCCTGGTCTATGGGAGGTGGCCCTGCCCATAGCAGGGGTCTGAACTAGGTGGGATATAAGGACGCTTTCAACCCAACCATACTGTGATCCCTTCCTCACCCACTCTGGCCAGAGCCCTTGAGTCACCAGCGTGGGCACACCAAGCAATCGCTGCCATCTAAAAACCCGCTGACATCATCTAAACTATGCAGAGGAAAACACAGACCACTTCAGCCACTGTGAAAATCACAAGGAGCCACACAACAGCATTCATGCCAACAACAGAGAGTTCAGCAGTCTCGCTCCTGCCAACTGTCAGCAGGGAACTGGCTGCCCCATAATCAGCGAATTAAGCAGTCTTAAGTCAGCAGGGGAGGGCTGATGAAGGAGATGATATTAGCTGGGCAGCACAAAATTTACCCCCTTGGACTGATCCATCCCTTTGCCTGCTGTGGTGCAATCAGCACTAACTGCACGGCACTGGGGGTGCCACACTCTGGCAGGGCCGGGCACTGCCACCTGCTCACCTCTGTCCCCCAACACCTCTGCACAGAAATGTATCGCTGCAGCTCAGTGCTACGTGCACCTCTATGCTCCATATTTCAGTACAAATAAGAAAAGACAGGAAGCTGAGCAGCACAAACATTCATAGACAGGAGACATTGCTGCAAGAGAGCTCAGAGCTGCCCCAACACCTCCCACTTTTATTACCTTTTCCCCACACACACATCAAAAGGGACAGAGACCTGGGGGCAACAGGGACAGTCCAGAAGTGCTGCTCAAGTAACACACCACAGGGAAAATGAGGATGTGGAGAGCAAAGCTGGACCCTGGCTTTGCAGCTGGGACCCCAGTGGGGAAAAATCACTTTCAGAGGCTGCTCTGCTTCCCACTGTGCTTGATTTCCTCAAGTACCCACTGCTCCCAGGTGCAGGACGAATTTTGATTTAAGTGTGAAAGGGGTAATAAAAGCCCAGAGAGCCATTAACATTCCTCCAGGCCATGGAGGGCTGTTTGCTCATCAGAGTTTGATGGAAATGCCTTTGAGTTTCTTGCAAGCATTGGAAAATCAATTAATTGATTTAATCATTCCCTGGGAGCCACTGCTGATGGAGATAACGGAGTGCTGGGGACCAAGCAGGATGCTGCACCCTGACACTGCTGAGATGGGGCAGGAGGGGCTGCGGTGCTCCAATCAAACCATTGCTCCCACCCCATCCCAAGCAGCTGGATGTCCTCATTTCCCTATTTCCACTGCACAAATTTCCCTGCTTGGAAGAGCAATTTAGTCAGAGCTGTAAAGTTTTACAGCTCCACTTTAAAATCCCTTTGCAGAAGCAACGTGGGGACCTGCGCAGTGCATGCATTCTTGGAATGGATGGGGACTGCTCCAAGGCCAAAGCACCCAGTGGGTTTTGGGCATGGGAGAACAGCACCGAGTCCCTTTGCTGCCACAGGGCAACGCCCATGGGGACACTGCATGCAGAGGACATGCTTTTAACCCAACACCACTTCTCCTGGTGCTTGCAGCAGCACAGCCAGCAGCACCCACACCCGCCAGCACCACTTTAACCAATAACTAATGAAGCCTCCCCGTACTCAGCAGCAAGAGCAGTGTAAATGATTCCTGCTGCCTCGTGCAGCTGCTTTAAAGAGCCCCCAGAGCATCTGAGCATCTGTTGGGAGCGGCAGGGAGCGGGGCTGTGGGGACACAAAGCCCAGGCAGAAAAGCTAAGATGAAGGGACAAGCAGGACCCACTGGGGACACATGCCACATAGCAGCCTTGGTGCCAACAGCACCCACCATGAGGAGCTGGGCAGCCACAGCCACGCTGCTCTGCAGGGTGTCAGATGGGAAAGTCTCCTGCTGCCTTTCGAGGGAGCTCTGCATAAGGAACATCTGAATGCAGGTCACGGTGCTGTGACAGCGGTGCTGTCCCTGTCACCCGGCGCTGCCTGGGCAAGACGCCGGCGCTCCAGCAGCGCATCCTGACAAGGTGCTTACAGCCACGGCACTGCTCAGCAAACAGCATCAACAGCATCCAACACAACAGAAGCAGCCCTGCAGAGAATCGCGGCTCGCTCGGAATGGAGCTGGCGGTAATTACAGGCAGCTTTGCACAGCTGAATCTTCCCAGCTCCGTCCCGCGCTCTGCGGTGTGCCCTGTCCTTGCTATGGGGTTACACGAGGCTTTGCAACTGGTTCTCCTGCTGTCTTCAGCATGCATTAAGGCAATGAGACAGATGCGTAACTTACATGGCTTCTTGAGGGCAAAGGGAGCCATGAGCCCCCTGAACCACACAGCCATGTGTCACATCCCCAGAGGAGCAGCCCAGGCACTTACTCCCAGGGCGCTCCCCAGCCAGAGACCTGGACAGGTTGCATACAATGGTCTGGCAAAGCCACTTCAGGGTATTTTGCTGATGCCAAGCCAATCTCCTGCCAAATGAACTGCATTTCTGCCTGAAAGGGTGAAAGCAGAAGTTACCCTTCCTAAGATAGAGGTATAACACAACAGACTGCAGGATGCCAAGACAGGCACATCTGTGTTTTTCTACCTCTCAGCAGAGCCAAGCTGACTCCTCCTGGCTGTCCTCCCCCACCTTAACCATGTGCAGAGGGTCAGGGCCACACACAGACCTTCCCCTCCTCCTCCTCCCTGCGAGCACAGCCAACTGCAGGGCAGCACGGCGCAGGTACTCCAGCTCTCTCTGATCATTAGATGCTGAGCTTGACCTTTCTGCATCTGCCATGAGAACAAATGACGCTATCTGGCCACACAAACCCAGCTGGGATGAACCACAGCAGACGGAAGGCCAGCAGAAGCAGGAGCGAGAGCAAAGGGCCCCTCTGAGGGGATCATGTCAGCTCTCACATTTCTGTTTGGCCTCTTTGCTCTGCTCCTCAGGGAGCCATTGAAGGCACTGAACTAACATGAGATCCCGGCGTTTCATGGTGCTGTGACTCTGGAACAGCAAAGATGCCCTACAAAACCCCGAACAACCTTCAGCATTACCTTTTGCAGCTCAGCTCTCCCTCCTCCGCCCCCTCCATGAGAATCCCTCCTCTCAAGAGAGAGAAATCACAAACAGCAAAGGACTCAGCAGTGCTTTGCAGCCCCAGACAATCCCTCTCTCCACTCCTGTGCTCATCGATGGAAGAAATTGCTTTAAGCAGGTGAGACTCCAGGAATCAGAAAGGCACAGCACAACACAGCAAGAATTGCTCTGGGGAGAGCAGGGCAGGATTTCTGCCAGGTGATGGTCAGTGCCACTTCCAGCACAATTTGTGTCGGCTGCAGGACTTCTCCTGAGCCCTTTGCCTCAATGCAACAAACCAGAGCCATCTGGCAGCCCAGGACGGTAGCACTGCCATGCACCTGTGTGCATCACAACCCTGCTGACCCTGCCCATGGGCTGCTCAGCATCCCATCTGTGTCCCTACCCTGCAGCCCCAAGGAGACCAGACCCCCAAACATCTCTCTCCAACCTGGCATGGGGCAGCATCCTCACAGGGATGCTCTTTGTTTCCTGCTCCCCATTAAAGATCTCAGTGCTTTTCCAAGATCATTGCCCTGCCCCAAACCAGCCCTACCCAGCACTAAAACAAATCATGTTTGGGAGGAATAAAAATGTTTTAAATGCAAGAGAGGAGGTGTGGTGAGGGCACAGACAGCTGAACCTCTCAAGTATAAGTCTGCTCCCAGCGCCATCTCCCACACAGGAGATGCCTTTTGCCAATCCAGATCTTTGCTTGTAGAACAAATTCTCTCGGTGACCATATCAAAACAAAGGAACCTCTGTCTGTGTTTATTTGGCAGTAGGATTAGGATAAAATACCATGCATTCCTCGAGGTTTTTATTTATCTTTAGGACGCAAAGCATCCGCTGCATCAAATCACCGAGCAGAGAACCCATCTGAGCAACAATTTCTGACACACACAGAGATTGGACTGGAGAGAGTCTCCTAGGAGGAGATTCACATATAAAAATAAAATTAAAAACGGGATTAACTTCCAGGCTGTGACATTATCCATTTCTCCTTTTCATGCTCCTGCCTTCCATCCATCTTCATTTTGGTTTTGATTGGCTGCCCGCGCGGCTCAGATGCTGAAAAAGCTCTGGGCAAGGCTGTGGCATTTCCATAAGCTCTCCTCAGAGCACAGTTTGGGTAAATGCACATCAGGCCAAGAGCAGAGTTGGGATTGCAGCACCCGAGGGTCAGGAAAAGCAAGAATAGCCCCAGTGTGGCTTTGAAACCAGCACTACAATGAATGGTCACCTCTTATCCACAGCTAACAGTTCTCCCATGTGAATTACTTGGAGGTGCTGGCAGCCCCACGTGCACCTGGTGGGATGCACGGACGTGAGGACAGCAGAGCTCCAAGGCAAGGAGGTCTGCAGGGAGAATCCCACGAGCAGAGCCCTGCTGGCCCCAAGCTGCACCTGCTGCATTAGTGAGGCAGCTCACACCCAGAGCAGATGGGAAAGGATGCTGCCAGCTTGCACTGAAAAATTAATTAGTTAATAATGAACGATGCTCAAAGGGAGCCATTAAACCCAATGCATCAACGAGCCCCTTGCTCAGACAGCACACAGAGGACCTCGCACGCTCAGAGCCTGTCCCACAGCACGCACATCTGAGCACACACCCAACCATGCCTCTGCACCCAGCAGTCCTGAGCCCATACAGCTCCACATAACAGCTGGCCCTCTTCCCACAATTACTGACATTAGCAGCTAATCAGCCCGGCCAAATTAACCTGCTCCTTTGAGCTTGTCTTCAGACCAGCACCATGCACTTAACAGCAACGATAACAACCAGTGATATTTCTTGGGTTTCCTTGGGATCCATAACACATGTTAATTAAATGCCCGTTTGTTATTCAAATTGATCTACTGAGATGCTAAGAAGCAGCGAACCCATCCGTGTTCCCCTCACCCCATCCTGCAGGTGCTCAGTGCTCCCCTGGCACAGCTCAGTGTTCCTCCGTGGGACCTGGGGGGAATCAAGGTCTGCCCCAAGCAGAGCACAGCTAGAATTCCAACCCAGGCACCAGCACGTGCTTTACATGGAGCTTTTCCACCTCGCCGGGCTTCAATCCCCATTTTCCCCAGTGGCATTGGTGAGGCTGGCCAACATGAACCATCCCTCCCAATTTCTGAGATGAGTGATCTGTTTTCATCCCCATTCCCAGGGGCCACCACCTCTCAGACAACGCCTGGCTGGGACATCACACAGCTCCAAAGTCAGCCCTGTACACACCCTGAGGTCTGGGGCCTGCTTTCCTTTTGGGGTTTCTTGCTCCCCACATAGGATGAGCCCTCCTGTCCCAGGTGTTAAGACAACAAGCAGACCAAATTTTCCCAAACAAGAGATGCAGCAGCAGCCAAATCTGCAGCAATTCATCTGGAAGCAATAAGTCATTCTGAAAATCCACCCAATGGACTAAAAAATGGATTTACTCTGAGTTTCTGAGCTTACTAACACAGCAGTACCTGCCTTAGCCAGTACCACAAACCATAGGGATTCAAGATATTAGGAAAACAAATGAGATCCAGCCCCAGGACTGTGCTGGTGAATGCAAAGACACCAAGGGCAGGAGGCAGTAGACTCAGATTTGGGTTAAATAGGTGACTAGAATAAGGATGGGAAATATTGTCCCACCAGGCATCCAGAAAGGGGACATTGGCCTTTTGCTGTCATTTTACCCCAACTTCATAGAGTCCTTTGGGGTGGACCCAGGGACTTGGGCAGGTTTCTGGAAACCTTGACTCCTGCTGACAGCACGGTCTGTCCGTGCTCAGCTGTGCAGCAATGTATCCCCTGGGGTGGGACATTCTGCATCCCCAGCTTGGCTGGACCACGGCTGGGCTGCAAGGCCATGGAGAGGCGCTTACCTTCAGTGCGGATGGTGAAGGGCGAATCCCCCAGGCGCTTGGCTGAGAACTGCCCTCCCAGAGACGTCATTAAGAAGCACAGAGTGAAAAATCCAATGCCCAGCACAAATATCCTGAGGGGAGGAAAGCAAAGCCATAAGAAGGGGTGCAGAACGGCTTCTTGCCCCCAGCCGCGGCCTTATTGAGCGGGAGGAGCCCCGAGATGCTCCTGCCCAATCCCTGGCAGCAAAACGGCGTGTTTCACCCCAAAACACCTTCTGAAGTCGCTGTGACCTGCTTGCAGGGTCTGGGTGGGAAAGCTCAGCCAGAGCAGGCTGCAGGAAACACTCAGCAAACAATACTCATTTTCCTTCTCAGAGAGCCCAGGGAAAAGAGAGATCTTGTACCTCCCCTTTCTCCCACAGGAGCTAAAAAAAAAAAAGATAAAATAAAGCCAACAATAACGATAAAAAAGAAAACAACATCTTTTTGTTCACCCCATAACCAGGCTGCTGATATTTCCATTGTGCCCGGCTTTGGGGACCTGCATGAACTCGTCCCTTTGGACAAGGAGAAGCTTGGCTCAAGGAAAACAAATGCTGCAGTCAGGGCCAGCAAGGAGAACCCAGAGCCCAGGCCAGGCGGTCCCATACCATGGGAGGCTTCTCCCTGAAGGACTGTGGAAAATCCTGCCCATCAGAGAGCCCTCTGAACAGACGTGGCAGCGGCTCAGCCTCCTCTCGAAGGGATAAAATTAGCTTTTGTTGAAGGGGTTTGCCTTCAACCAACCACGTCTCATGGCCATGGGGAGCTGATGGCCCCATCCAGGTGCTCACTGGCACTTCTGCCTCTCGGTACCTCTGGCCCAAAGGGAAGCAGCCCACCAAGAACAGGATCCAGCATCTTCTGTTTCAAGGTAACAACATCATCTGCAGTGTGAAGGAGTGGCACAAAACCCAGCACTGCCATCCAGCACCACATCTGTCTTTGGAGGTAACATAGCTCCCTGCCTTACAGCATTCACCTGCTGGCCCTGGCAGAGCAGCTGCTGCCCCGTGCAGCATGTGGCATTGCTGGTCCCTGCTCCACAGCCATGGGGAGCAGAGGCCGTGATAATGCAGCCTCTGATGTTGAATGCCCCCAGCACTGCTCCCAGTCCCCTTTGGAGACCTGCGGCCAGACATAGGGAGAGCTGATCCCTGCAAGAGAGGTAGAACTACCTAAAATCCCCATGTAAATGCTCCAGGAACTTCTTGTTTCTAAATGAGCTTCCCCCTGGGAATGGGAAGCAGTTTAACCAAGCTCTTGGCTCATCCAGACCTGCATCCCAACGGCCCATCCATGGCAGATGCTGGTGAACTCGTGGGGATCACCACGGACCTCAATCCCTCTCAATCAGACCTTGCAGATGGGTTTCCAGGGAGCTTCTGGCTCAGCCTAGGCAGGGACCCTGAGCACATCCCAGTCCCCGTTACCTTGTCCAATCTTGTCCAACACCCAGCCCCATTGGGTCTTACAAGAGCCAATGGAGGAGAGCAAAGCCCAGCCATGAGTGAGGAGGGTCCTCCCTGGGCACAGCCCACCCACTGCCCCTTCCCAGGGCACTCATTGAAGCGTTCATCATCCAGGAGGTGCCTGCTTAAATCCTCCCAGCTGATCCCACTCTCCATTCTCACCCTGTTGACACTATCTTCATCATTACCCAAGACCTCGTTTGTGCATTTTAATTTTCATGATTATAACCTGGCAAGGAGTGGTGGTTAAACTGTGGGAAGAGAGGAAGGGAAAGGTTGGGAGATCCATGCTCTGGTGTCTCATTAGGAGACAAAATCTGCTTGATTTTGATTGGGTTACAGAGAGAGAGTAGGAAAGATACAAGAAGATGGATCAGATCCTAACTGAATTAATGATCCTAGGACATAAGCGGACGCAGCCCAGCTCTTCTACCTTAGCAGGTAGAAATTCCTTTGTCCAGAAAATGAATGCCATGAAGGAGGTACAATAGGGCCTCAGATCTCCCACATTGCCATCGGGTAGGCTGGGACTTCCCCAAATTAGGTCTCATTTGCTGAATGCCACAGTGCTCCAATGGCCAAATAGCATCCATCCCGCCTTTGCCTGCCACCAACATCACCTCCAGTTCATCACCACGGTGCTCAAATGTATGGGTTCTACTGCCAGGTCCCTCTGCACACCCACTCCTCCCAAACCTATGTGAAACCCATGCCCAAATCCAGCACTGTCCCGAAGCAAACAGCTGGTGCTTCCAAGACCAAAGTGAGAGCCATCCCTATGCAGCCCCACAGCCTGCTCACAGTCTTACTTGTTCTCTCCCCTTTTCCACTTGCTGCAGGCACTTTCACAGCTCGGGGCTTTTTGCATCGCTTTGCTAAGCATGTCTGGAGTGTGATTAACATGTTTTGGTGCGAAGGGTCAGGTTTCCCGCTCGCTGTTTGCTGATGGCACCACTGCCAGGAGCCCAAACCGAGCAGGGATCTCACTATGGATCTCTGCTGAGCAGCCAGAAACAAGCGGCCGAATTACAGGACCTGTCCCAGCTACTGCCATGGGAGCACATCTTACTGGGCTGCACTGGTTGGAGAGCACAAAACAGCCCATGGCACACAGATGGGACCGTGCAGGTGCTGCGCTCTGCACACCAGGGTTCCTGCCCCAGGAGCCATGCCGACAGCGCTGGGTACGGGGGGCAGGGATGCTCAGCCGATCCCTTCCACCTGGGGACCTCAGATTCACCTGGGAATGAATACAGCCGCTGCTAAAGGGCTGCACGCGTCCTTCCCACCTCTTATGGTTGCACGCTCACAGCCCCGAAGTTCTGCCCCTTTCCCCGCTCTGACCCTGAGCTCAGAGCTACGGGGACCCCTCCTCAACCCCCGGCCACGACCTTGGCCGTGTCCCAACGACTCCCCAGGGTGCTGCCGCGGGATCCGGCCCCGAGAAGGGCTCTGGGCAGGCTGTGCAGAGCCATACGTCTCCAAACACGACCGCAAGCAAACGGCACAAACGCAGCCCCGTCCCCACAACCTGCTGCGGGGGCCGAACAAAAAAGGCAGCGGTCAGATGGCTCTGACGGTCCCGGGCTCGCCCTGCAGCACACTGTGCACCCCCTCCTTCCTCCTCCCCCCCACCACACACACACAGAGCTTCCCCTCCCACGGTCTTTTCGATCCTTTTCCCTTAGAAAAAGCCCGAGCAATTACCGGTGCCTCCCATGCGGCTCAGGTCTAGGAGCAACAAAGCGCATCTCCGGTGCGATGGAGATGGAGAGCAAGGGGTGGAGGGGGAGAGCCAAGGCACGGAGGCATCAAATGGAAAATAATAATAATATAATAAATCTAAAATAAAAGCAGTAAGAGAACCGAGCCGTGCTGGCATGGCTTGCAGCCCCAGCGCTGCCTCCGGCTCAGGTGTGGGATTCCACATCCCCAGCGACACCCGTGGATTTAATCCGGAGGAAGCGACTCCTTCGCGAGTATCGACATCGGTGAGGAAGGTGAGCAGAGCCGCACGCAGCCCTGCAAGGAACCTCTGGAAGGTATCGCGGTGACGGGCAGCCAGCGCTGACCTGCCGGCAAACTTGTTTGGGCTCCCGATATCTCCATCTGGAGCCAACCCGTATGCAAGACAAAATAAAAATAAGAATCAAAATAATAATAATTAATTAAAATAAATAAAAACCAAAAACAAACAAACAAACAAAAAAACCCACTTTCTATCCCGGAAGGATAAGCAAGGTGTGGAAGAAACAAAGAAGAGAATAAAACCCCAACTTTACCTAAAGGGTCTCAAGGTGACGAGACATCTCCTGACCATTATCTTGCCATCCGCGTTGACTGTGATCATCGTTCAAAGTTGCGGGGCCAGCGGGGATGGGGGCGGCCCCCGCAACCCCCCACCCCCCCCCACCCGGCGCCGCGGCAGCGAGCGGGGCTCAGCGGGGCCGCATGGCGCGGTGCGGGGCGCGGAGCATCCGCCACCGCCGTCCCCCCACCCACCCCCTCCCCCCCAGGCTCCCGCCCTACCCGCTGCCCATCCCGGGGCCGCTCCGTTCCGCGCAGCCCCGCGGGCAGCTCCGCGCTCCGCCCCGGTGCCGCTCCGCCCAGAGCCGCGCAAGGTGCGCGGGCACGGCGTGCCATCTAGCGGCTGTTCGGATGGGTTTCGGGGGAAAAGGGAGGGGGAAGGATATTTATTTATGTATTTATTTGTACATTATTTGTTCTTCAGCGTCTCAGCCCGAATTTAGGTGGCACTGTGGTTTGTGGCAGGCGGTGGACGGGGTGGTCGTGGAGTGCGGATGCTTCCTTGTGGAAGGATCCGCGTCCCTCCAGGTGCCAGACAGCAGCCCCAGGGTTGGGGAGCACAGCGGTGCAGGCAGCAGCATCACCCCGCAGCCAGGGTGGAGCTGGGTGCTGGCTGATTTCGGGGTTACAAGGAGCCAGGTGAGCCCCATTCCTGAGGAAGAGGGCTGCCTGCGGTCGTGCTCTGATAGCATCATCCTGGGGCTGTGCTGCCCCATCGAGATGTTTTCATCCTGGGGGCTCACAGTGATATCCCACAATGCAGCTCCCAGCCTCCCCATGCAGCCCCGGGCCGAGGCAGGGCAGCTTCCTGCACAGACAAAGAAAGGCCGTGGGAGCTGAGGTGGGAGAAACGACTGCTGAGCTCAGCAAAGGTCCTCCCAGCTCATGCAGCGGGGAAGGGACAAAAGCGACAAGCACAAAAAGCACTTGGGGATAAAGGGATGCACACGAGCCTGTGGGTGCCCCTCTCCAGCACCCAGCAGCACGGACCCAGGGCACTTTTTCCTGCATCAGGGGTGATGATTTCATCCTACCTGATGACCCACATCGGGGCTGATTTAAGTCAGCAGTGCTCCAGGTAGCGAACGCTGCGACAGCACCAGGCACAGAGAGCTCACAGACAGAAGACAGCTGGAAATTCTCCATGAAACAGCACTTTTCTGCTGAGGAGAAGTGAGGAGAGAGAGAGAAAAAAAAACAACAAACCAAGAGCCACCCAAGCTTGCTTGGCAGAGTGTTGTAAATACAAAAGGATTTTTTGTGCTCATCCATGCTTCTTTTGGGGATGGGGAAAGAGCCACACTTGTGCTGAG